GGACTTGGTGTTCAAATCCTCCTCCATGTCGATGCCTTCAACGTTGATCTCGAGCCTGTTAGCGATCTCCAACAAGACTCTCTTGACTCTTGCGATAGACGTGTTGCCGCCGTTGCACAGCCCCTCCATCTCCTTCCTCGTGAAGCGACCAGATGCCGCCGTCGACTTGATGATGATCTTGATCTCCTTGCCGTCCTTGCCGCCTGCCTTCTTCTGCATCCTTGATGCCTTCTTCAACTTATTTCTGGACACAAAGCGATCAGCTGTCAACTCGACTGCGAGCGCCTCTCTGATCTTCGGGTCCTCGCTGAACAGAGTCAGGTGTACTCCCTCCATCGCTTCGCTCTCTCGGAAAGCTCGAAATGCTGTATCATTCGCCTCTGGGCAGCTCCCTACAGCGATGAAGCCTTTCTGACCTAAGCCTTTGTGGACTTGCTGTCCTGGCGCCCCAGCGACCAGCATGCCTGCCAGCGGCTGGAGTTGGACCGCTGCAAGGGACTGGCGCAGCAGCTGATAGCGATAGACGGCAGCTATCTCAGCCGTTGTCATGCCGCCCAAGGTTAGCAGGTGAGTCAGCTCTGCCAAGCTGCCCCCTTTGCCCCAGGGTCCTCTCTTGGCTCGAATCTTGAAAGATCGATCGTGCACGATGCTCACATGTACAGCTGTGAACTTGCGACCATCGATCGCGAAGTCCTCTCTTCCCTGCCAGAGCTTCTCCGCTTGTGCATTGCGGAGGAAGGAAACAGTCACCGGGATCTCCTCAGCACTCGCTATCTCGGGTCTATACGGAGCCTTCCACATGATTGCTTTACTCTCTTGCACTGAGTCTACGATCAGTCCGATCTCTTCAAATTTCTTCTTCAGCTTTTCTTCATGGTTGACATACACCGAGGAGATGCCCAGGAGAGTCATGGAGATGAAGGAAGTTACCTCGTTGCCTGCTGAGGCGGTGTATGTCTCGACCTTCTCCTTCTTGGCTTCCTCAATCTGCTGCATAAACCACTCTCTGGATGCGTCACTCCCTCCAGTCATCGCTTCTTGCAGAAGCTCACGTCGTGCCTGCTGACATGTCGAGCGGATGGCTTCTGCGATAGCGTCGGGGGTGCATCCCTCCACAGCCTTGCAAGCCTGGGCTGTCCTGCTGTTCGGATAACGCTTCGCGAAGCTCTTCACCCTCTCGACGAGATCAGCTTCGAGGACAGAGGCATCCACAAGTCCGCTCTGCGTGTATTGGCATGATCTCCGATACAGCAGTTTGCGAACATTTTCATCATACTGAAGAACCATACTTAGAAAGCTATTTGAAGTATACAAACCTCTCGCTTGCAGCTTCCTTGGCGCCCTGGCAGCTTCCCCTACACCACGCGTGCAGCCATGGTGCCTGAAATAACCGGCGCTGCCTGAAATAACCGGCCCTAAACCCTAAACCCTAAACCCTAAACCCTAAACCCTAAACCCTAAACCCTAAACCCGAGAGCCCGGCCGGCCTCCGCCCGGCCTCCTCCTCCCGGCCCCCCTCCCCCCTCTCCCACCGGCTTACCTGCCCTTACCTTCGTTGCTTGCCCCATGTCCACCTCATTTATTTCTTCCTCCTTCCCCCCATGGGGCCAACAGCTAAACCAGTGATGATGAACTGTGTTTCAGGCATGAGACAACGAGTGTTTTTTCTTCTTCTCCTCGCCGTCCTCACCGATGGGTTCAATATTCGGACAAGACTCTGGATCCCCAGTACAAACAGACATTGCAGACATACTGTCCATATGTGCAGCGCGAAAGCAAAAAGCAGCATGTTTGGGAAAGGCGATCCAATCTATCTCGACTATGGCGGAACATCGCCTGTAGATCCATCCGTATTCGATTCCATGAAAGAATTCTTCGTGAGCAACTGGGGAAATCCCAGTAGCTCGCACGTTTACGGTCAGGTGACACGTCGATCTCCTTCGGGTGCATAAGTTGACGACGGGCAGAGGGCTAAAGGAAGTTTCGAAGAAGCGAGAAAAAACGTGGCTGATAGCATTGGATGCTCTCCTCATGAAATGTGAGACACCAACCTTGAAGGCTTGAATGTTGATATGCTTCTTGAAGATTCTTCACTTCAGGGGGAACAGAGAGCAACAACTGGGTGCTCAAGGTGTGGCAGACGACGATTTCACAGGACTCACCTGATATGAACCAGGGAGCTGTAAGCCTGGCCCGGAAGCGCCTTCAAGATCATTTCACCAGCAACATGGGTGGAAGCGCCTTGGCTTGGTCGTCTATGTACGTCGACCAGCTCAGACCGCACATTGTTACAACAGCTATTGAGGTGCATTGCTACCTTTGACTTGCTCGGTGTGAGTCTCTTGCCTGACTCAGCACCCGGCAATCCTGGAACCTTTGAAATGGCTGGAGACTGAGCAGGTAGAGACGATTTGGCAGTGAATTTGAGTTGCTTTCTTGAATGTCGCGTATGACCTCTGCAAACAGCAGTGCGACGTCACGATAATTCAACCGGGAAAAGATGGTTCGAAAGATTATGACATTGCTGGTACTTCTCCGCGTGAAAGAGAGCCAGGTGTTGTGAATGTACAAGATGTCGTCGATGCCCTCAGGACGCAGACTATCTTGGTCTCAATCATGGTGATCCTTCTTTACCACTGACAGATATTGAATCATGCGAAAGCATGCCAACAACGAAGTCGGTGCAGTTCAGCCGATCAGAGAAATTTCTGACGTGAGAATATTTGCTGTGATCTGATCTGTCAATTTGAAACAATCAAAGGCTGTGAGAGCCTGGGCCGATGAGTTTGGCGAGCGTGGGAAACAAGGTCGTTGATATGCTTAAGAAACCGGCAAAAGATAAGCGAATGTGAAGGGTTGACCGATGGGATTCTCATTCACACGGATGCCTGTCAGTCAGTAGGAAAGATCCATGTCGATGTAAGCAGCGCTATCATCTTGCGAACCTGAAGATGTTTGACTCAAGGTGAATGACCTCGGTGTTGACTTGCTTTCGATGGCTGGGCACAAGCTCTACGCCCCCAAGGTCAAACTTTAGAATGCTACAGGAAGCTGACGAAAGCTCCTTAGGGCATTGGCGCTTTGTATGTCCGAGGTGGAGCCAAAGGGCTCGACGGTGATGGCGACTTTCGTTTGCAGAGGATCATGCATGGTGGTGGGCAAGAGCTGGTAAACTTGTTTTGCTAAACCTCGAAACGATTTCTCATCCAACTTGCAGGGGTTGCGAGCTGGGACAGAAAACGTCGGGCTTGCCGTTGGTCTGGTAAGCAATCAAAACCTTGAGGCACAAAGAGGTTCAAAGGGGTGCCTGCAGGGAACAGCATGCAGGATGTTGTGCCAAGACCAGCAGGAATCGATGACGGAACAGGTGCTCAACGCGTACTTTCATCCAAGATGAACTTGACTCCCAGATGCGACAAGCTAGTCTTATCAGAAGTTTGCATGTGCAGCTGCAGGCAAAGTTTATCGGACAAGTAAGTCGTGTCGTGTGATGTTTGGTCTCTTCTTCTCACCCTCCTCCAGATCCATCTCAATGGTCCGGAGCTCCCGGCCTCGCCAATCAACGGCGCTTGGCCGAGGTTGCCCAATACACTGTCAATAGGCTTCAGGTACAGCGTGTCATGCAGATCATAACCCAGAAACAAAGATCATGAGCTTTCATGACAGAGGACTGAAGGCACAAGAGATTCTTGGGAAGGTCCAGGTAGGGTTGCCGCTTTTCGATGTCTTCCTCACTTCATTTCTTCTCTTCTACTGCACTAGGATGTTGTAAGTGCATCAGCTGGGGCAGCATGTCATAGTTCCAACATCCCAAAAATCAGTTCTGTGCTGGCAGCCATGCAAGTTCCCGAGGATGCAGCATTAGGAACCATCCGATTTACTGTTGGAAGGTATGACCATGTCTGAAGGAAACTACCGTGAGATGTCGATTCTATCGCAGGTACACGACAGAAGATGAAATTAATCGAGCGGCGGAAGCTGTTGCAGATGCTGCAAATGAGCTGTTCAAACAATCTGTGTAGTGGACTCGAGCAGAAATTTGAATTTGAATACGAGGATGCAAACGTCGGTATGACAAATATTTCAAACCGAAAAATCCGATCTTCAATATGCCCTTCTATCCCCAAGAATATACTACACAACTTTGAGCGACAAAGCTCCGTCAATGGAGTGCTCCTGTATCGCTAGGAATGCAATATGCCGATAACTCGAAAACTGGGCATCCCCTGCAACCCCCATGTTATCCGAGAGCACGATGAAAACAAACATTTACCCAGGCATGCCATTGGCTCCAGCCCTGGTCCTGTCGCTAGCCAAGATCTGAACCAAATCAATCAGAATTTTGCATGACTGCCCGCATTCAGCCTCTACACAACCTGCTTTGGGACCGGAGGGATAGGATTTGAGACAAGCTGGATTCGAAACATTTCAGGCTCCTTTGGTGAGAAACAAGATCATGCCATATACCTGCTGCTTTTGCCCTCTCTTTTCTGACCCACCCAGTGGAACTTGTCCAACAAGGCAACCTTTCAAATCGAAAAAGAAGCATGGTCATGCTATGATAGAACATAACGGAGCAGCCTCGCAAAGTGCTATGGGACTGATCTACATCCCCCTAACATTCGTTTCGATGCGCTGGTCGAATAACCTAGTATTCGTGTTGGATTATCGCTTCCTAACAGTACTCGCATCCAACCTCCATCTGTCTCCCCAACCTGCACCCTCCTCCCTCCCTCCCTCTGTCTCCTCCCTCGATCTGTCTCCTCCCTCCTCCCTCCTCCCTCCTCATACCCAACAACAACGACATGAGACTGTCCTCTCTCCGCGCTCGAGTACCTGTCGATGAGCAGTAGTCCGGGATGCCAGCCAACAAGGCGAACATGCTGCTTCTCCCGATATAGCTCTGTGACCGAAAGCCAGACGGGGATGAGGGGGATGAGGGCGCATGGTGTGACTTTAGGATGGGGCGGGCCGGGGTGCAGAAGTTGGGCTCGTTCTTTCCGGTCCCCCAGCTACGTGGGCACAGCGAAAATTGTACTAATGAAAAAGTTTCTTCCATACAAATTTGCTTCTGACATTTTGAAATTAAACATCTATATTTCCATACAATGCTCTACAATTCTACAATCGAAAAGTGATCTGAACCATTCGTACGTTATTCGAACATAACTGTTTTTAGAGCGACAACCGCTGTTGAGACCCCAGGTTATGGCGTCCTGAGGCAGGCAAGGTGAGACAAGTCGCAGCAAGAGGAAGCGAAGCTGTCGATGCTGAGCTCATCGGTCTCTTGCGCCATGATCCGTGCTAATGGCTCACAGAAAGGGAGTGGGCAGAGAGAGATGAAGAGGGACGGGAGGGTAGCACCTTTTCTTTTGTGGTTCGCTTTATCTCCCGAATCAACTTTGTGAAGCGATTTAAACTTTTAGATTGGCAAAGAAAAGCTGCTGAGAGAGCTTTTGGTAGAAGCGGTGTCTGTAGGCTGTGTTTTGGTGTGTCAGACATACAGAGTTAATGCACTCATATGGTCGATGTTCTGGTTGTTGCTTTCTTGGTGTAGTGGTGTAGTTCTTGCTTTGGCAAATCTCAGACACGTTCTTTGTCGTCCCCTTCAAGTTGACTAATTGTATCCAGAATCTTGTCACGTTATCCCGATGGGTTCAGGAAAATCAAAGCCTTCAAACAGCGTGGATAAATCTTCGAACAATGGTCAGTGTTGCAGTATTGGCTGTGAGTCGTACAGCTGAAGCTTGTTTTACCTTGTATTTGTCTGCAGGAAAACGTTCTTCGGCAGAATATAACAGGGTGAGTTAAGGGTTGCCTGCATCCGCTAGAACCTAATCCTCATGCAAACCAGACACCCGTAAAGAGCAATCTCGTGACAGCAAGACCATCGTCAACCCCGGCACCTATCAATAAGGCTACGCCAAGTCCAGCTCCAATCATAAAAGCTGTCAGTTCTCTACCTGTTTTTTCTTGTCTCAAGTCGAATGAAGGTGGATGAAGAGGCACAATTGGTCGAAAATTTCCGATTAGCCTTCAAGGTAGAGAAGAATTGAGATTTCAAACGATTGGTTTGTCATGTCGCAAACAGGCTTCACCAACCGACGGTTGGAGGAAACTAGTCTCTGGGGAATCCGTGAGTGGTGATGCCAGACAGCTCAATTGCAGCAGCACACAGTCTGAATTTATTCTCAGTCTTTGTGAACAACAGCGGAAAGCTCCCTTTCAATATGACGTTGGCTCTAGGGAGCAGCATTTCTTCTTTTGCTGAGATTCTTGCAGGTGTGTCCGATGCGAGTTCAAGTGCCCAGTACCTCCTGAAGACGTCTCTCGGGTTTGAAACATGACATTTTTGGCGAAAAGTCTGAGAAGAGATCAACAGAGTCTGCTTGATCTCGACCTGCGTAATGAACGAGATTTTTTCTTCAAAGAGGGAAAGGTAGATTTCTACTTGATTATGAATGTACTGTGTGAGCAGGAGTGGTTCTAGAATGTAGGGTCACCGACAGCATCGAAATCATCTTTTCAAGCTGTCATGAAAACTCTATCGTCACAGGTTTTGATCGCGTCTTGTTTGCTTCATTTGACTAGATCTGCAGGAGGAACGTCCCGTTCTAGTTGCAAGATTTGTCGATATTGATGATAGGTCATATTTTGAAGCAGTTCAAGTCTAGAACTCTAAAGCTTGCTTTAGAGGAAACGTTACCATCATCGAAGTGCCCGAAGGAACGTTTGATTTGTCAGGGTTTACTTTTCCATCCTTCTTTGTGCAGGCAGGAGCACCCATTTCCAACTGCTCATGTGTAATTTTTTGGTTTGACAGGGCATAGGATCAGATCAAAGCTCCGTAGTCGCCCTCTATAGATTCGATGTCAAAAAGGTTGATTATTCCCCTCCCCACCCCTCCCTCTCTTTTTATTTCGCGTGATCGTTTAAAATTAATGAGTCATGCAGGTATGGAAAGATTTGTCAGACAGCATGAATGAATCGAGGCTAGCTACTCAGATACATCAGAGGTTGGCATGTTCAAACCTTGGCATCTATGTCTCATATTGCCCACGATGGTTTCAGATTCTCAGAGCTTGCGGAACCGATGAACCTCTTTCTTCTCACACTTGGAGCACCTAAAGAGAGTCAAAGTCCCAAGGTAGACTCAAGAATAGAGCATATAGGTCTACACTGATGGTGGGCCAGATTGTCAACGAATTGTCTGTTCCAGCTCCTTCGGTTGCCTCAACTCCACCTCCCGCCCCGAAGAGTTCTCAACCAAAATCTAGGAGGTGAATACATCGATTCCTTCCTTAGACTGCCATTTTTCATACTGATTTCGCAGAAACTCAAACTCTGATAGCTCTAGTGACACATCAGGCTTCTCTAATTCGGATGCAAGTTCAAAGGTATGATTCTTCGTGTTTCTTGTTGTTGATATCTACCATAAGACAAATACCTCCACGGTTTTACTTGTCGTTGTTGACTTATCTGAGATATGTGCTCACCTGAAGTACAGGAAAATACTGGAGACCTCATTGAGGGTAGTAAATTTCGCTGGAAGAAAGGAGAGCTTATTGGGCATGGTGCAATCGGGAAGGTTCCTTGCACTTTCTGGTTTGAGCTTCAGGACTTTGACATATGAGATAGGTCTACATGGGCTTAAACTTCGAGACCGGAGAGATGATGGCTGTTAAGCAGGTGATTTGCATATTCTACAGACCGTGAATCAGCTCATTTTATCTTGCAATGATGGCATCAGGTTGATCTCGGCGAGCATTTTGGGCCGCAAGCAGCTGAAGAGCTCAAAGCCATGGATCAAGAGATCCATATCTTCAGTATGATTTCTCACCCTAACCTCGTCAGATACTATGGAATGGAAAAAACTTCAACTCAGGTCCGGTTTCTGTGACTTTGTGGCATAGACTCGCATTTTGAAACGTGAGACAGTTTTTCATTTTCCTTGAGTACGTGTCAGGGGGGTCCATTGCAACCATGCTGCGAAAGTTTGGAGCATTCAGTGAACAGATGGTCAGCAACTTTACCGCCCAAATTGTAGACGGACTGCACTATCTGCACTCTCAATCGATTTGCCATCGCGACATCAAAGCGGCGAATATTTTATATAGCAACGATGGCGTTGTTAAACTCGCAGACTTCGGGACAGCCAAAAAGATTGCGGACGGTGAGTCGGAATTATGATTTGATATGCGTTGAAGATGATGGCAGTCATGAATATGTCAACTGGACTCAAGTCACTTGTCGGAACTCCATACATGATGGCGCCTGAGGTTATCTGTCTTGTTTCTGTTCCATATCTCAAGCACCTGATCGTTTCCTTCTTGCTTTCCCTTTGCTTTCTTCAGGTTATCCGCCAGACCGGACATGGCCCCCCCGCTGACATCTGGTCCCTCGCTTGTGTCATATGGGAGATGGCGACCACCAAGCATCCCTTCACACAGGTGTGTTGATCTGCGCCAGGAGGAGAGGTTTTGTATCTGAAATCGTGTGCAGTACACTGATAGAATGGTCGCTATGTACAATATTGCACATGCAAAAGCTCCTCCAAATCCTCCGGAGACTCTTTCTGAAGTTGCCAAGGCTCGTGTGACAAAAGGAAACGTGTTTCGAGGAGTAAGCAGATCGCACAGGATTTTGTTCGGAAGTGCATGATCATCGAGGCGCCGCGTAGAGCGTCGACGAAGCAGCTTCTTGAGCATCCGTTCATAGGTGAAGGCTAAAGGTCACTTCGGGACTCATTTGATGCGCAGCAAATGTGGAAAGGAAGACAGGAAACCATGTTCACGGTCATGCACAATCATGCCCATATTGCACATCGTATCACTGATATGCCCGTGTAGATGCGAGTCCGCTTGTCTCCCGAGACAACGTGAGACCATTTGCAGTTGGAGATGGCTTGTGGTGACTTGCTGCTTAGTTTGTGGAATCCGCTCCCCGGAAGATCGGGTCGATCAAAGAAGAAGAGGAAAGAGACTTGAGGTCATCGAACATGTCCCTGCTTGCATCCTTTTCAACCCTTAGCAGTGGCGACCTTGGCACTCGCCTCAGTAAGGACCAGTCCTGGGGAAATGTCAGGTACTTTGTCTGCCAACACCTGCAATAATGATGAGCTCTTGCATCAGGTTGGACACGACGAGTCCCAAGAGTGTAATCTCCTTCTAGATGTTGCCTTATGCCGCCTTTGATGATGCGTATGCTCAGAGCGACAATTCATTCGACAGCCCCGAGATATCCAAAGCCTTCCCCAAGCATTTCGTTGACTCGTCTCGGTCCGTCTCTCGTATCTCAACTTGTATCTGAAACTTCTTACCCAGCAAAGATTCGTCACACAGGAAGAAGTCAGATGGGCAGGCGGCAAGCAAGAGGTCGGCTTGACCTTAGCTGGCTCGAGTTTCAATTGACTTACAGGAGCTCGAGTAGCGAAGATGAGAGCGAAGACGAAGAAGGTAAGACCTGTGACCTTGAAAGATGTCGCTGAATGCTTCGGTCAGGAGGGGGGGCATCGGAGCAACTCTCAGAGGACGGGTACACCCGGCAGCAGTGCGAAGTGAGGCCTGGACCAGCTCAGCTCCTCTCTCATCCTTGTCGTCCAGGTGCTCGGTAGGCCTTTCTACCCCGCCAAGCAACCACCAAAGGCGGTCACGAGATGGGGTGAGTGAATGCGTTTCTGCTGGCCTGATGTGCTCAGCCAGTTTGCCTGCAGGAACCAAAGAGGAAGCGACAGATTCGGAGTCTGAAGCCGAGGAGGAGGACGAGGAAGAAAGCCCTCGACCCCAGGTGGAGATAAAAGTGAAAACGGGCATCACCTCATTATCCTGCAGGCTAAATTTGTTCCTGGTCGGATCGTACGAAACGTACAGTAACAATTGAGGAGGATGCTTGAATACTAACGTCAACGTTCAGCATCAAGGAAACTCTTCGGAAAGCGACGAAGACAGCAATTAGCAGATGTTCTGACAGGTATAAATAATCAAGTGTAAATGCGTATTACTCGGAACGATCTGTCTGTTCTTACTTCACTTCTTCTGCTTCTTTGCCTGCTCTCTCCCTGCCTTCCCCTTCCTCTCTCCTGGTTTGCCTCGCTTCTTATGTACAATCTCGATGGTTTTCACCATCGGCTGTGCCTGTTTCGACCGGCCGTGGTGTTTCTCCTTGGCATGATCAGATTGCTGCGCTGATGTCCCGCCCGGCGGAGGGCTGGGAGAGCGAGATTCGTCTTCACTGTCCTCTCCGCTGTCGTCTTGAGCCACTTCTTCGAACCCCGAATCTTCATCTTCTGCCACCTCTTGTGCCGGCATGTGCTGCTTGCCCTGGATCGATGTCTTTCCCTTTTTTCTCACCTGAGGCTCCTCGTCGCTGCCATCCTCTCCCTCCTCCTCTTCCTCCTCCTCCTCCTCCTCCTCCCCAATCGAATCACTCGAGTCATCAACTAATTGACTAAGGCGAGCGAGGGCAGGGTCCACCTCACCATCGTCTCTCTTGGAAGCTGCCGCCTGTTTCTTAGCCTCCCGTTCTCTTTTGCGAGCAAGCAGCTCTTCTCTCTCAGCCAGACGCGCTCGAAATCGTCGACCATTCACATGCAATTTGATCTCCTCAGGCGTTTTGTTTAGTGAAGTCTTGGTGAGATGGCAGAACAATTTGGTCGGATCCTTCTTGCTCTGCACAATGTTTGGCTCGTACTGCTTCCAGTCAAACTCGTCTGCTTGTTGTTTTGCCTTTGCTTGTCGATATTTCTTGCCGCTGATATGAGCCTGAACAACATCACAACATACGTCTCAAAGAAGTTCAGTTCTCACCTCCACAATGTCTTTCTTCGGCAACATCTCATGCCCAGTAATTTTGCACTTGCACTTGCCGTTTTCCAACATCTCGAGATCGGGATGCGAATTGATAAAGCTGGGCCAAAGGTCCTTGGACATGACGATATTTGATTATTCAATCGATAACCAAAGACTGGATCAATGTCAATTCAGAGGATTAGGTTTGAATCTTACATTTGTGCATTCGAAAGATTCTCATTGCCCATCTAAATTCTGATTCAATCTCTATCACATTTTCCCAAACTTATCTTAGATTCATACGAGCATGGCAAGTCAGGTTGCTATCTAATCAGTCTCAATAGTCACATGATTGTATTCACTCTCATCAACATCCTTCTCTCAAATCATGTTGATCGTCTCCATCTTCATTCATCTCTCATTATTCCTGTCTTCTTCACGTGCTCAAAACCGTTATCGCTTTTCCCAGTGATACAACGGTCTCTTGCCCGGGCCCGCCGCGTCCGGCCCTTGGTCTGAGGCGCACACGTCCTCCCGCCTAATGCGAGGGGTGTTTCCTGAGGTAAAGAGGAGGGGTGGCATATTGGGGACGCGGGAGGTCCAGAAGTTTATAATATTATTAAAGGGGATAACCGTCTGGTACAAAAAATAGAAGCTTCTATGTTTTATATCTTATTTGTATTATATATAGAGAGAGAGTATACTGGTTTACCCTCTTTATTACCCCTTGTAGAATATATATTTAGTTGTAATTTCGCGAGGCCATGCAGCGGAGAAGAAGGACGAGGGAAACAAGAAGTGAGGGAAGGAAGAGAAGGAGAAGAGCGAGCAAGACCAACAGAGCGATTATGAAAGACAAAGATGGTGATGATAAGGCGACATGACGAAGGAGTCATCGTGGGCAAAATTTCAAGTCGAAAGGGAAGCATTATGAGCAGGCAGGGTTGATGAACAGAACTACAGGCGCTGGTCCACAAGAAACAAGACAAGGAGAACTTAGTTAGGATTCAGGAATATAATTGAAATCTTGAAAGATTCCAATACGAAAAGTCCAACGAACAGGACAGGGACCAGAGAGTATCATGCGGATACGCTAGTGTGAAGAGGATGTAGATTAGGATCAGGTTGCATCAGTGGTGAGCAAGATAGTCAAGACGTCGACAATGATTGACGGACAGGCTTGAATCAACTGAAATTATCATCGGGACGTTGCATGTGCAGTGGTCAAACAATTTTGCCATGAGGTGATAGATCTTTACAGGTTCGTCATGTCTACGCCTACACGTCGTAGCACGCGCAAGAGGGAGAGGACGGTTGAGCTGCAGCCCCACATCGAGGCGGGCCTAAAGGATCTCTTCGCTGGAAACGAGCAGACAATCAGAGACAAGTTTGAGGGCGCCGACAAGGACAACGCAGCTCAACTTGTCGATAGGATCAAGACTGTGATGGGGTATGTGCTCCTACCTAGTGGTTTCATTCTCTCGCCAGCTCTTCCATGTCTCCATACATTTCCATCCTCTTTCTTTCTCAGTCCGTCACCTTGATTCTCTTCCATCCTTTCGTTTACCTCATCGTTTCTTACAATATGCCTTGCAGTCAAGAAGACGTCACGGTCGAGAACGCTTTGTCCCGATACGTTCCCACAGAAGTTCTCTCCTCCTATGCTGTGAAGAAGGAAAAGAGCGGCAAGGGAAGTGCCATGGTGTTGGCTCAAAGACTTCTGGCGCTATGGCAGAAAGAGAATGCGGAAGCAAGTCCGTCCAAGAAGACGAAGCCCCAGTCGGTGAGGATTGGATGAACCGCGAAAGACTTTTGGAATTGACAACAAGGAAATCGACAGAACGGAAAAGCCCAAGAGAAAGAAGAAATAGAGGAAAAGAAAGAGCAAGAGAGTCCGAAGAAGAGAGGCGCTGCTGCTAAAGCCAAAGGTGGTTCACAACCCTTACTCCTCGCCTGCCTGAGTTTCTCCCACAGAAACGCCGAAGAGCGAGGAAAAAGCTTCTTCTGCTTCCAAGAGCCGCAGAGGAAGAAGAGCCAGCAAGGTTTGCTGCATAGCTGAAGGCTCTGAGAGTCTAACTTGCCAACCGAAGGAGGAGGCAGAGAACGAAGAGAAACAAGAGGACGACAAGGAGGAGAGCAAGGAAGACGAGAAGATGGAAGATGCTCAAGAAGAAAAGGAGGACGCTACTGACGGCAAAAGGACAGACGACTCCAAGACAGCAAGGTACAGCACAGCACTGCTCCTCTCCCCCTCCCCTGACGTTGACACAGCACTACCCATCAAGTCGACGCCATGAATCGACCGATCGTGGTGGACGGGAGTAAGAGAGGGTGTCCATGAGAGTGTAGATACTGGAGAAGATGAGCATGAATAGGATCTCCTTCCCTCGCTTTCTGTCGCCTAGCAGTCCCACTGCCACAGCGATCAGTCGTGGGATTTTCTGGTTTTGAATTGTTATAAGAAATTTTGAAATTGTTCTCCTGCTTGTTTGTGTTTGGGACATGTCAAGCAGTAAAATCTTCCAGGGCCTCATCGTTCACGGGCCAGGCATGAAACGGAGATGCGGCCCCGAACAAGACGGCACGATTCTTGGTGTACTCTTCACAAGAGCGCTTCAGGCTGATGTACCTCCCAGCTGACCCCTTGCAGGGAACTTCGCGACTCTTGTTTAGCTCAAGCACCTGGCAGTGCCGTCGAAGGAGGTTAAGTTTGCTGATGCGCGAGGTGGAGGCGTCGGTGCCGAGAGACTTCTTGGTGGTGCCTGACTCAAGTAAGAAGATGAAGAGCTTGAGATGATGAAGAGGTTGCGATCTGACCGAGCCGGAAGCCTGTACCGCCGATGGTAGCTTCGCTCTCGCCGTCCTGTGAAGACGCTGGGAGCCATCAGACGAGAAGGGCTCTAGCAACACTCACCCCCCCGCGCTGCTTCCTCGCATGAGAGCCATCGGCTCTTCTTGCCCGCCGTCCAGTTCACTGAGAGGAGAAACCTCAAACAAGGCCTCGCCCTTCAGCTGCTCTCCTACCTGACGACCCCGCAGGGTTGCACTGAAGCCTCTTCTGAGTGCCGACGGCCTCCTGCACGGCACTCAACCCTAGTTCGCTCCAAGAGCAGCGGGTACAAGCACAGCCTTCTCCACGCTCTCCCTCGAGCTTGGAAATGATATCCGGCTGCTCAGAAGTGACGGCTCGTTCAAGATGAACCTGCACCATTCATGTTGGACAAACGTCGCAGGTGAAACGCATGCAATCGAGCGTTACGGCGGTGATATCTGATCTTGGATGGTTACAAGGCGATCATGGAGGGCTCTTGACAGAGCAGCTTTGCTGTAGGTTGCTTCTGACACTATCACCGTTCTGAAGCAAGTCAGCTCCGCTGGAAGGCCCTCAAGCCTGAACCCCCTGGCTCACCTGAGGTAGACGGGGTCCATCAACTGCGCAAGAAGCGCTCCTTGGAGTCCAAGCACATTCCAGCGCGCGATCTGAACTGGCAGATTAGCACGAGAGCAAGTGACCTCGTCGCTCTCTCGCCTTGTCCGAGCATGACAGGCTCTGCGTCCTGTCGCCCCTGCCTGGCTTGATGCTGAGAAGCGACTCCCCTCTCCCTGCTGCCTCGTTGCCGATCGTCTTGGCGCCTGTCCGGTTGACGTTGTCGGAGATCTCCACAGCTCTGTGAACAACTAGTTGAGAGGTGAAGGGCGCGGGGCAGAGAGAAACCTGTGCTCGTCTGTGCTGATCTTGATCCTCTTTGCCGGGGCCTCTCCGCCTCCTCCCTCCCTGCATCAGCAGGCTCAACGAGCTGACTCAACGGTCTAGCCGGCAGCTCACGCACAGGTTCGCCTCTCCGATCTCAAAGTTTGAGGCGTCACCGCAGGGAGCCTGGCTGACGTACAAGTGAAGCTGGCATGCATGCTTGAGCCTGAGCCTGCTGGCCGCTCCCTGATCGAGCTTGGAGCTTCTGTCGAGCAGACAGAGATGGCGGTCGTCCTCGAGGAAGAGCTCTACTTGAGAGTAGAGAAAGCTCATGAAGGCTCTGCGAGCTAGAACCTCTGCATGCGAGTCGTTCAGGACTCTCCCGTCTCCCCTCAGCTTCGACGCTCCCAGGCATTTGTTTCCCGTGGCGAGGGAGAGGAGGCGAAATTCGAGCTCAGAGGGATCGAGTGAGGAATGAGGGGATGGGGCATGATCCTCGTGCGATGCTTTACACTTCACTCGAGTAGCCACGATCCCCGCCAAGATGGTCCACTCGCCAGCGTTGGGCTTGCCGCTCTTGGGCAGAGTCTTGTACGTCTCGATGACCAGCTGGGAGATGAGATCGCCCAAGTCTCGCCGCCCTCTCTCACCAGGAGGCTCCGCTGGAGCTGACATCCCTTCACGCCATCGCGAACCCCTAGGAGGGGGGGGCGGGGGGTTGCGACTATCCGGTGCACCAGTAATAAAAAAAATTGAGATCGGGTTGGGGACAGGAAAGAAATCTAGCAAGACATGCGGCGGACAAGGAGGAGGAGGAGGGGGAAGGAAGAATCCAAGCAGATATGAGGATGGAGATGCTGCTGGAGACAAACGGAACGAAATGACAGGGAGAGAGGGGTGTGGCTGGAAGCAATGGAGAGAAAATCAGGAGCTTCTAGCACAAGGACCATGTGCTGCAAGAGTGTGAGGCTCTCATATGATCGTGACTAATTCTTATGCTTTTTCCGCTCGAACTCTACAGTCTCCTGCTCCTTCGCCCTCAGGTATAAGTCTGGGTCCGTGCAGCGTCGAATATGTCCCATGTCTGAAACCATCTCACTCTCATACTTTATCATCCCGAGTCAACAACACATCAACCCCTCCAACCCCTCCCCCACTTCCCCTCCCCCCCTTCCACCCGGCCCTCTTCCCCTTCTCCCAACCCTCACTCTCCAACACATGTCAACCCCTCCCCTTCCCCCGGCCATCTCCCTCTTCTCCAACCAGCACCCCCCCCCGACTCGACCTGTGAGATGTTTGTGCTCCTTCTGTCTGAGCTTCATGAGCCCCTTGCCTGACAACCTTTCCAGCGGCTCCTGGACTCCCGTGTGGACCTGCAGCCCAGGTCAGGTACCGAGGAAAGAGCGGAGGACGGGGGACCTGGTTGGTCTTGACATGTGCCATCACCCCAAAGACCTCAAGGCGCTGGACCTCCTCTCTCTTCAACTGCTTCATGTTGTGATCCGCCATGCGCATCAGCTTGGCTGCTCGGCAGCTTCAGGGAAGGACCACGGTTGACAAGCCTACCCGTCCTCAAGCTGTCATCGACCTTCATCTCTCTGAGCTGAGAAATCATCGTCGCCGACTTGACACGAGATCAGGGGAGGGGGTAAACGTGTGAAGAGACACCTGCGGGCAATCCTTGAACTTCTTCCATGACTCGTTGTACTGCCGTTGAAGCCGCTCCTGTAGAAAATGTCCAAACCCAAGAGTGTCTAGGCTACACTTACCATGTCGCGAAGGTAACGTGCCCTTGACTGATCGTCTGCATGTTCCTGGCTTTCTTCCTTTCTTTCTCGCCTATGCTCTCCAACCCCTCCCTCGTCTCTATTACCTTCAAAATCCTCCTGCCCGGCATTCGAGAGTTTCTTCTGCCGCTGCTGCTGTATCTCCCTCTGTATCTTCAGCAGCACCCACTTCTGATCCGTCCACTCCTTGCTGTCCTGCATGACTGCTGCAACTCCTGGGCCGAAGTTACAGCATACTGCCCCGTTTTGAAGGTATTCCTCAGACTGCTCTGCCGAAGCGAATGCAGCAGAAGGAAGAACGATAGCGACGCCTCTGCGAGGGGGAACATGGTCCTTTGAAGTCTCCATCGACTGGAACAGAGCAGGAACGCTCGACCTTTGCTCCGAGACTCCATACCCCGATCCCCTGCGCTCACTCAGTGCTCCATACCCCGACCCCCTGCGTTGCTCTTGCCCTGACCCTGCCATGGGCTGGCCTCCCTGCCGCCGCAGTCAGCAGTGGTGTGGAACTTTTGAGCGGTCAAACGCTCGGGTGGGCCCTCAGCCTCAGGGCCAGTCCGATATCAGTGTCATGCCACGGTCGGGACTCCGGAGGGCCCGGCGGGGCATTTAGTGACTTCAAGTAGTCGTGGGCCACACCGTGGCACGGCGCGATGATGGCAGCGAAGGACAAGCCGCACGGTGACGAAACTTGAAAGATCCTGGACCGGATGCGTTCAAGTGCATACTAGCCGGCCGGGCCATAGCGTTGCCAAGCAAGTTGCTTTTCCGGCCGGGCGCTGGTAGGAAAAATTGGCAACTTTCATTTTTTTTTTACGAAGGGCCTGAGGGGTCCCTTCATTTCATGCCATGTGGGTGTACCCTATTTCAAGGCTTTGAGAAGGCGTGTGGGAGGGTAGTAGTACTCGCTCTTAGGAAAATCGTTGCTGCGCAGGGCCACTGAAGAGTGGACACCTCACCACGAGTCGGATCACCGTCTGCCGCGCCCTGTAGGAGGCTTCACCCGGCCGGCGGCGGCTGCGACACTAGTGCCAACTTCAAGTTCTCACAGTGGTGAAATTTTCTACCCAGGCCGCCCTGGCCGCGCACCCCGCCGGGGCGGGCCCGGCCAGTACTAGCTGTTTTGGCTCGGTGATGCCCGCGCGGCGGTTTTCAACTTTTTGAGTTTTTAGGTAGCGGTTAAAAAATGGTCGGGAAGGACGAGGCAAGAAGGGGACAAGGGAGAGCGAAGGAAGAGGAAGAGCGCGACGAGAGCTTGAGTGAAGGAGAACAGGAAGATTGTAGAGGGAGGAGCTGGGGGCGCAGGTGGAACATGGTTCAACAGTTCGCCGCATGAGAGAAGGGGACTATTGAGCGAAGCGGAGGCACGCGAGTGAAAAAGGGATGAGGCCCGTGACAACAGACCTACCCAAGGCAGTGACGTGGGTTGAAGTCGACAAGGGAGACAAGCGAGATCGACCCTCCTCGATGTATACAAGGGGCAACACCCTCCCTAGCCACTTTCTCTCCCCCATGCAGAACGGAAAGCGAGGGGCGACCTATCCGGCCAAACTGATGCTGTTCGATGCCAACTTCGAGCAGGGAGGTGGGAAGCGAGACAAAGCCCCGGGACATACCATGCAGAGACGCCCTTTATCTGCATCGGTCTTGAAGAAGGACGGCAAACCTCCCCGCCCGCTCTCAGCTTTCATCCGCAAGCAGAAGGAGCAAACGACGAGAATCGGAACCGCTGGGCATCTGGAGGAGAAGGGGTCAGGATCTCAAGACGTCAGGAGCCCAGCAGGAGAAGTAGCGTCGAACATGCATCGCCTGAAGCCCTCAGCCATGCCGCCCTCGCCTCTAGAATCCACACAGCAGTCATCAGGCCCACGCAGCCGATTTGACTTCTCTACGATGGAGGATGGAGCTTTGGAGGAGCAGCCAGTGAAGCAGCATCGATCTCGTCTGATCGAGAGGAAGTCCAGCAGGCTGGGGAGCATGTTCAAGGACACGTGGAAGTCTTTCAAGGCCTACGATGGCTCCTCGATCAACCTTCAGGCTGTGGAAACAGACGACGTCCTTGGCAGCAAGCTCAAGTTTGGGTTTCGAAGCCAAGCGCTGAAGATGCAGGTCGCCATCACTGAGAAGCTCCGGATGGCGGAGGATGAGGCGAGCAGCTTTCAGATCTATAAGGTTGATCGCTCACCTCCCTCTCGCATCTCATTTCTTGACAGGATCTGTTTGCTGACATCATCGCGATCGACAAGAACTTCGCAGAGCTGCTGCGTCAGATCAAAACGGTCTATGACGCGAAGATCGAACTTGTTCCCACTAGTGACAGCGACAACGTTTCTTACGCCGCGTATGAGGCGCTGAAGACAAGGGAGAGCGCGCTTCAAGATCGCCTGCGTTTGCTAGAAGAGGAGAACGTGAGATTGAAGGATGCTGAAGGGGAGCGAAGAGCAGTGGAGGAGCGAGATGAAGTGAGTCGTATTGAGGAGGAGGAGGAGGAGGTGGAGGTGGGGATCACAACCGAGGCCTCGAACTCTGATTCGAAGCGAGGGAGGAGGCTAGAAGACGTGGAAGCAGAGCTGAAGAGGGAGCGGGAGATGCGGCTGAAGCTGCAAGAGGCTCTACAGGACATGATGAAGCTGCAAGCGTCTTCGGATCGCTCTCCTCGGGACCCTCTCTCCTCAAGAGGCAGCAGGGACTCTGCTCGTAACACAGCTCGAAGTGCCGCCAGCGGGTACGACGACCATCCCACCCATAGGTTTTCGTCTTTCCCTCCCCTCCTCCCGCAAACTCTCTGCCTGCAGGTCTGTGGAAGTTGCTCGTCCTCGTCCTCCTTCAGTTCCCGCCATCTCCGACGAGGAGGTGAGGAGAGGTGGCGGGGCCTCTGAGCATGTAGACTCACTCGCTGGGGGCAGTGGGCGCTGGTGCAGCGGCAGAAGGAGGAGGAAGATGCAGAGAACGAGGCGTGGGCTGCACAAGAGGTCTGAGTCATGCGCATGGAAGTTGAAGAGTGACGAGAAGGCAGGGGGGTGAAGGAGAATCTGAATACGAAGAGACTTCGTACGAAAACATGTACGACGAGATCGACTTGGAGGACGAGGAGGTAGAGCAGCTGATGCGGCTCCACTACCAGCGACAGGTACACCTCCTCCTCCCTGCTTCCTACACCACCACATTGCTTGCTCCCCCTGCTCCTCCTCATCATCATCCCCCTACACCGTCTCCCCAGCACCTCAGCACACTCACTACTCATTATCACGGAGACTACAACGACAATGACGATGATGTTGGGACAGGCTCGTTCAGGCAGCGAAGGAAGCGAAGAAGTCGAAACCGACAGGAGCGATCGGATGGTCGTCAGGCCGCAGAGGTGATGCGTGACCGCGCATGTTGTTAAGCTCAGGATGGCTGCAGCCGCGGGAGTTTCTACCCAGTGGGAGGAAGGGAGCAGGTCCTTCCCCGCTGCTGTCTCCTTCCGATCTGATGTCTTCCACTCGCAGGAAGGAGGAAGAGAGGAGGAGGTGGAGGAGGAGGAGGGGCGGGATGCTTTCTCGGCATCTGACAGGTGAGATGAAAATTTTCATGACGTCAGGAGCTGATGAATGTAAAGGACTCTGGACGCCAACGAGTCGCTTACCTCCTCCCCCCTCGGCTCTGAGGCGGACAGCCGCGGCAACTCGCTCATGTCCCCTCATGATGGCTGAGGCTGAAACCAGACGAATTCCTCCAAGTAGGAGGAGGAGGAGGAGGAGGAGCTTGCTAGCGTTTGGCACGATCCTGTTGAAGTTGTCACAATACACCATGTGAGATGTCGACGAGGAAGAAGGTTGTGGGTTTTACAAGAACAAGGACAAGAATCAAGACACAGGGCATCTAGAGGACGACGAGGACAAGCAGGAGATGGAAGAAATGGACGAGGAAGAGGAGAACAGTGACGACGACGAAGAGGAGGAGGCAGAGATAGAAATGGGGACCAACCTGAGCAGCTGTAGATAGCGATGACTCCCCAATCGAATTTGAAACTGAAGGAGAGAAAGAATGACGTCAGTGGCTCCCCCACCCAGCACGAGCTTACTCTTCGCTCTTCTTCTTCTTCTTCCCGTCCGACTTCAAGTAATAGAGCAGCTGCGGCATAATCTGCTCCTGCTGTGAGCTGAAACTCCAGCACAAGGCAGGGAGAGTTTAAGTCTGGAGCTAGAGGGAGGAAGAGGATTGATGGAGACGGTACGGAACGACATGGAGGAAGAGAGGAGAGGAGGGGAAGGGGACCTGAAACTCAAAATGTCTCTTTGCTCCACAACTAGGACAGCATGGAACTTCTGCAGTCAAGCAGCCACAAGAAATCAGCTGATGAGAGTGCCAGAGGAACAGAGAGAAGAGAAGAACAAGTCAAGTGACGCAGAAGCAGGAGCCGGTGCAGCAGCAGCAGGCGCAGGAGCAGCAGGGGAAGGGGCAAGAAACCTTGGGAAGAGATCTGACGATCTTTGGAGATCCAGAAGGGGTTGACGTCAGGAGAGAAGCAATACCTGAGGATGATGAGCAAACGACGAGTCCCCTCCCTCCTCACCTGATACACTGATCCTTGTTGTGATCGACCCGCAGCTTGAAGCGGAAGAATGCAGGATCTACCATCCATCCTCACCGACGTCTCCCTCCCATCAAAGTCTCTTACCGATCTTCCCTTGCCCATCCTTCCCCACCTAGAGCCCACTGGTCATCGCCTCCTCCCCTCGGCCATCCTCCCCTTCTCCTCCCTTCCCCCCCTCTCCTCCCTTCCTCCCCCTCCCCATCTCCTCCTCTCTCCACCTCTCCTCCCTTCCTCCATTCCTGCTCCTCTCCTCCTCATCGCAGCAGCTCACCTGATCAAGCTCCCCATCCTCTCCTGTAGGGTTCTCTCCGGCCTTGACCTTCCAGCATGTCACATTGCGCATGTCGGCTCCTCCCTCACCTTCTCCTCGTATTTCCGCTCGAGCTCTTTGAGATGTTCCACGTCCATTTCATCATCCGACAGCTGCAGCACGGACAGTCAAGACATACAAACTTGTGGGCAGACAGACCTCCTCGTCCTCGATCACGATCTCTTGCTCTCGAAACTGAATGCTCATGACAGACTTGTCTTTCACCTGTGGTGCATTACTTCAGTTGTAACATCTTGGACCAAACTACAATAATCATCATCACTACCACAAATCCTACCACAATTTCAACTATTATCATCGTAATCATCATCGTCATCATCATCGTCATCATCATCATCATCATCATCAGCTCCCCGTTCAACATAATCTGCATCTTCTACTACTTGTCGCAGGAGATGTCGAGCCGGTTCACAATCTTGATCGATATCAAGAGCATTGTCGAGATCCTGAGTCATCATTCGTCATTTCAATCGGGTTATCAACCCGCGTCTCGACCTTCTTGCTTTCATGGAGAGCGCCAATCGCCGTCTGCATCGCAATCAGGCAAACAGAGCGCGGTACGAACTGAGGAGGAAACGAAGGTGTAGAAAAGGAAGAGGAGGAAGCAAAGGAGGAAGTGTTAGAGCAGGAAATATTGCTGCTGCTGCTGCTGCTGCCGCCGCCGCCGCCGCCTCTGCTAATGTTGCTGCTGCTGTTATTGTTGATGTTTTTGCTGTTGCTGCTGCTGCTGCTGCTGCCTCTGCTACTGTTGCTGCTGCTGCTATTGTTGATGTTGTTGCTGTTGTTGGTGTTGTTGCTGCTGCTGCCTCTGCTGCCTCTGCCTCTGCTGCGGCTGCTGCTGCGGCTGTTGTTGTTGTTGTTGTTGTTGTTGTTGTTGTTGTTGGTGGTGGTGGTGGTGGTGGTGGTGGTGGTGGTGGTGGTGGTGGTGGTGGTGGTGGTGGAGGTAGTGTTCGAAATGAAGGAGGGATAGAGGAGGAGAGGAATCACAAGTAGGAACATAAGGAGGAGAGGTTTGGAGCAGGACAAGGAGTGCAAGGAGAAGCAACCGCGTCATCACGTGAAGCGAGCTCAAAGAAGCCTTGGATCTTCGAAAGAGAGCCTTCACATTGAGAGGATCTGAAGGACATGTCACTTTCTGTCGACTATCCTTCTCCTCCTCCTCTTTCCTGCTTCCAGCGCCTTGGTACTCTCCTCTATCGCCTCGTCATATTCCGCGAGTTTCAGGAAGCACTGAACATGATTATCATGTAAAGAGACTGAAGACACGAGCAGAAGAGCAGGAGAACAGCAGGAGAACAGCAGGAGAACAGCAAGAGAACAGCAGGAGCATAGCTGAGAAATGATCATCCTGTCACTTGCCTCTGCAATGTTCGATCGAATCTTCGATACCTCCTTTCTCACACAGTTCGGTAGATACTCGACCACCTCCTCCTCCACAGCCTTCAAGGTCAACCTGTACGCCTCGACTGCTTCTCGGTAGAGCCCGGAAGCGAACGTCTTGTTCGCCTCTTCCTTCCCGCTGATGACCTGGTTCAAGTCGACGTCTCCTGCTTCTCTCATCTCCTGCACTCTCGGCTCCTCCTCGTCGTCGTTTGGGTACTCAGGCGGGTCGAACGAGTAGAACTGATTCTCCCGAGGGAGCTGGCAACGCAGAGCGCGTATGCTTCCATCCTTACCGCAGCACTCGGGGCAGAAGAAGATGAAGATGGAGCGATGAAAAGCATGTTCCGGTCCGTCAGGAACAGGAGCATAGATCTGTAGCAGGAAGGAGAGCAGTCGGTCACATTTCCCCTCTGATCCTTCAGCGCCGCAGCGAAGTTGGTGAGCAGCAGGAAGATTCTTCGGATCCAGCCATGCTGGTCGTCCTCCTACCTTAGAGGGGAAGAATTCAGCTCTTAGCGCCTTGGCACACTGATCCAGTCGTTAGAGATGAACAATGGAGAGAGATTTTTCCACCTTGGGCTTCTCTACAAAACCGAGTTTCCAATCGAGATCGAGCTCGTCGTCCTCGTCCACGTCTTCATCGCTGAGGATCTCTCCCCCCCCCTCTTCATCTCCCTCCATCTCCATCTTCTCCTTCTCCGACCTCTCCCCCGACTACCAACTGCACGTGCGGCTCGACGTGTATCACTGAAACCGGTACTGGCTCACCCGCTGGAAGAAGTCGTCAACGAAACAAGCTGGGAAGCAGCTTATCTAGCAAGGACTTGATGTCTTCCTGTGTTCACCTTGTTCTCTCCTCCTCCTCCTCCTCCAGTCCTCTCCCCGTATCGCCCATTCTGACCATGCCTGTACCAATCTACTGCCCCCACCTTGTGGTGAATGAAATCTATACCATTGCTATTTCATCGTTGCTGCCCTATTCAGATGATAGGATTGTTACTACAAGTGGTTTTAAATTGACTGATGTAGACTACCAAGGCTCAATATAGAGAAGGCTCAAGAGGTACGTGCAACCAACATTGAGATGTTGGAAGGAGAAAGATGCTGAGCATGTGTCAAGATTGTTGTATATCAGCATGATGCGATTACTGTGATGATGACCTCATCAATGATTGTTGCAACGATGAAAACACAGCTGATCTTTTTGATGATTAAGTTGGCATATCTCGTACGTAAGTTGACAGATGTGTAGCAGGATGGGGTTGTCATATTCATCTCCAGCAAATAGACAACCGAAATGGTTCCCCCAAATGATGAAGGAGCTTCCCTCCATGTCCGGCAAGGTTGTCGCCATCACTGGCTGTACCACAGGAACAGGATACATTGCTGCAAAGGCCTGTGCACAGAAAGGTGCTACCGTGCTCATGCTCAACAGGCAGAGCGAGCGAGCAGAAAAAGCATGGAAGAGCATCAAGGAGGAAGTGCCTTCGGCGGAGGTCGTCATGGTGGAGTGTGACCTTCAAGCGTTTAAGAGTGTCAGGAAAGCTGCAGCTGAGATTCGTGAGAGGTATCCCGAAGGCATCGACGTCCTCTGCAACAACGCGGGGATCATGATGATGGAGAGTGGGAAGGGAGAAGACGGTTTTGATCGAGAGGTACTTTGACAGAGAAGCAAGATGTCTCTGATCAGATGCATCAGATGACTGTCAACCACCTCTCTCACTTCCTCTTGACCAAAGAACTTTTTCCGCTCCTCGCCAAGAAAGCAGCAGCCACAGGTTAGAGTCGTGGAATCTGAGCAGCGGGATAAGCAACCTGGCAGGCGAAGCACGTGTTGTCAACCATAGCAGTGAAGCTCGGAAGGCTCCTCCCACCAAGCTCAAGGCTGAGGTCGCAGATCGTGTTTGAAGGCACTACCACTCATTTCGAATGACTTGCAGTACCTCGAAAAAAAGACGACAGACCTCGGTGGAAATGGAATGTTGGCTAAGATGGGAAGGTATCATCAGGTCAGTCCCAACGATGCCAACACAGCCTTGCTGCTCCTGACAGTCACTGCAGACAAAGTTGGCAAACTGCGTGTTTACATTCGCTATGCACGACAAACTTCAGGCCGCAAACAGCAAGGTGACAGCCGTTCGACTCTTCTAACCTGCAGTACGTGATCGCCGAGCCAGGTCAAGGCCCTCGTAGCCCATCCAGGGCTCGCAGCTACCAACCTACAGGTGCAGAGCCCTGCTGGAACTTGAGGGCCTCTGAACCCCTGCGAGGTGACGACGTCCAAGGACAGCGGCGGAATGATGGAGTCGATACTGTCCCTTCTGATGACATTTAGTCAATCTGCTGAAGACGGATCGATGGGCATAATTCAGGTTTAGCATCAGATGGTCATTTCCGCTGCTTCCCTTTCCTCTGATTCTGCTCTGCAACTCAGTGCATGTGTGGGCCTGACGCAAACTCCGGAGAACTCTGGGGACCCAAGTCGATGACAGGAAAACCTCAGAAGCTCAAACCAGAGAAGCTTCTCACCTACGAGGACTCGAAGAATATGCTTGTAATCCCCTCGTATCCTTGCTGTTGATGCTTGCTTCTCCTCTCCCCTCCCTCCCCCTCAAACTTTCTTGCCAACCTCTCAAGTCCCCGCCTGCCTCTTTCATCCCTGCCTTGATTCAATCATGGCCTCCTGTCTACCGAGAATGAAAGGATTCTCCTTATATGTTCGAGTGTTTTGCGCATGCGATCTTTTATCTCGTTTCCAACTGAGAGCGTGCAATTAACGTTGATAACTCTCTTCCTTGGCAGTGGGAGCTGAGCTGCAAAGCAATCGGAGAAGTCTTTGAGATCCAATGACCGTCCTGCCCGCAAACCAACCTCATCGACCTCCTTGACTTCTTGCAGTCAGCCTGGCATCCGAGCAAGCAGCCACTCTCCTCCCTACCTCATTGTGCGCAATCGCATGCTGATCTGACATGTCACATAGTTGCCATAAACATCGACCACGTTGCTGGCGTGTGTTGGCTTGTTGTGTTTGTTGTATGAGAATAAAGAGAAATAGATCTCCTCCTGTCACTCTCTGCTTTCCTCTTTGTAGAGAGACTCCGACGCAAGCTCTTGTTGAGCTATGCTCAGGTTCATCCTCTGAAGCCTCGGGGTGTGACACGTTCCCTTAATCGTCGACCACGTTGCGGGCGGGGGTGTGGCCGCGATGCAGCACCATCCAGAGCAGACTAAACTCCGCGGCATCCTTTGCCGCCCACAGTCAGGCCTCTTGCGCTCCTTGGCGTATGCCTTGGGCAGCAGCGTCATCTAGCACGGGTGACCCGCTCCCCAACACCTACAAGCAACCCCGCGACTAGGAGACTCAGTGTGAAATGATGAAACAGGATCACACAGTATTCCTGAAGGAAGCACGACATACTGTGCCGCCGGAACCGCCGCTGGTCCGTCCGTTGGTGCGATCAGTGTAAGGGCAGCATGGAAGATAGGAGCAATTCAAGACAAGTATATGAGGTAAGTGAAACTCAGTGTTGGAAGTGGTGATGCCGTAGGGCAGTCGTGGCCGACAGGACAGAACACGGTGCCGTTGGGATCCGCGCTAGCAGACGTACCTGGACGGCAACTTGGAAGTACCCCTTTGCTGGACGCACTGACTTTTCTCACCCTCCTCTTGTCCACAACTCGGGCCTGACTCGAGCCTGGGCCAACATTGCAGGGTTTAGGGTTTAGAGCACCGGTTATTCCAGGCATCATGGCTGCGCGCCAGTGTAGGGGAAGCCGCCAGGGCGCCATGGAAGCTGCGAGCAAGTGTTTGGTATAGTTCAAACTGCTTTCTAAGTATGTTTCTTCAGTATGATGGAAGTGTTGGCAACCTGCTGTATCGGTCTCCCTCTTCGTTACCCTGTCTCACTTATCCTCACTAAATTTGAGAATGCTCGTTAAGGTTCTGACTCTTCCCGCCCCTCGCACAATACATTGCGCTCGTCAAGTAAGTTGATCTTGAGTGTGGAAAGATCCTCCAGCCCTCCGCCTTGCCCTGCCCTCTGATCTCTGCCGCTGGTTGCCGCCCTCCTCCCTCCCCCGCCTGCAGCTGCCATGCCATCCTTCCCGCAATCCATGGCTGCGACCTCTACCTCCTGAGTCATATCCAAGACCATCTCTTGCTCCACCCTCTCATCCTCTCGCGACGAGCACTCTTGTATTGGCGGCCCCGCGGCCACATCTTCATCTCCCTGCTCTCCGCCAGTCGCATCCGCCCAGCGATGGTGCAGACTTGCAGCTTCAAGTATCGAGCGCTCGCGCTCATCCCTCGCACGACACTTTTCATCGTACGCAGCAGCAGCGCGTTCGAGCGCATCAAAGTCCCAGATGACTCGGTGGGAGCTCGAGAGAATCTACTCAAGCATCAAGGAAGGAGGAGAAGGAAGAGAAGACTCACCGCGTCGGCTAGTTTGGGCTCACGGTGAAGCCTTGAGGGGATGTCGCGCAAGAGGAAGACAATCTCTTCGAACGAAAGGGCCAGCAGGTCGCCTTCGAACTGACGGATGATGGCGATGGCGACCTGAGTGACTTCACGTCAGATGGCAAGACGACTGCGGATAGCAGCACACCTGAAGGATGTAGGTGAAACCCTTGATGAAGAAGACATCCCACACCCGGTAGGTGAAGTTGAGGGGGAACGAGTAGGCGAACAGCGTGAGGAGCCACTCCGACGTGAAGGTTGTAACGTCAAAGCCTTGCTCCTGCTCAGCTTTCAATCCCCAGCTAGTCTCTGGCCCGCACACAGACCGCAAAGTGCTGATGCAGCGAAGGCGTGCAAGACAGAATGAGGCGATCGAGCTTGAAGAGCTCCACAGCCAGCTGGCAGGCGAGGTGATTCATGATCGTTACTAGCTGACAGACCTACCTGGGGGCTCCTAGAGAGGTACAAATCACGAAGCCTGTACCTGGAGACGACCAGGTCACATCGGAAGCCCTACCAAGGCTCTTCTCACCGCCGCATCATCTGCACCAGAACCCAGAATGCATGCTCCTGACGCATGTGGAGCAGTAGGATGGCACACAAGAAGTTCATTCCTTGACTGTATCCCACCTGCTCTCCTCGTCACCGCATTCCTCCTCCAAAACGCCACCGACCTCGTCATCATATGCTGCATACGCGTGTGCGACGTTGAAGAGAAGCACCTGACCTCCTCGGCCTCGCTCGCTGAAAAGCATCTTGAGATTCAGGGAAGCGATGTACAATTCAGAGAAGGCAAAGAAGATACAAGGAAAGATTAAGCATGACAAGGCAATGCAAGGAAACGGAAGGAAAGGAAAGGTGCCACAGGTAAATGAGTTCAGAGTAACACCTGAAAAACTCATTCCTAGGCATGGTTCTTGCTAAGTCGCGCTTTATTCTCCCATCTGCACTTGCGCTCATCCTGCAGTATTGCGCATACCTGACAACTCCCACGTCAGCATTTCTCTCCTTCAGGCCCTTCCAGCCCTCCCGGCCCACTCGACACTTCCTCCTCTCCCCCCTCCTCCTCGGCTTCCCTTATTCAATGCCACCTACCCCTCCTTCTCCCCCCCCACCCTCACCCTACGCACCGAGACGGATGGCTCTGTCTCATCGCGTCTGCTCCGGACAGCTTCTGCCAGACGATGCCACGGAACACATCTGGGATGCCGTACATCGCCCGCTGCTTCACCAGTGTCGGAGCACATCGTAGTGGGTGACAGGCCTGAGCATCCGTCGTGCCCCTCCCGATCGCCGCCGCTATGTCAACCCGCCAGTCCTCCATGTCCTATCAAGGAGGTTGGTGAACAGGAGACAAGAACGATCAAGACCTGCGCCGACTTGAGCCCGAGGACAAGCTTTCTCCGGTGCGGAAGCGTAATCTTGAGCGCGAAGATGCCGAGGTCGTTGTTGTGTGAGTTGCTAACGGCAAGCTTGACGCGGACCGTGGCCTTTCGGAGGAGATACTGCAGGCAGCAGCAGGGTCAGCGCATGTCACGACGCTGCTTCCAACAAAGCTTACCCAGTTGGACGGACGAGAGCTGTCTGGTCGTTCAAAGAGGAACAGATGCGCCCTCTTTAGGATTGCCCAGTACCTCCTCCACTCCCTGAGCAACCGACTCAACCATGATGGAAAACTCATCATCATCTCCACCACCACCACCTCCTCCTCCTCCTCCTCCCCGTCCTCTTCCTCTTCCTCTTCCTCTTCCTCTTCCTCTTCCTCTTCCTCTTCCTCTCCCTCCTCTTCGTACAACTCTCCAGCTCCCCAAATTTCATCCCCCTCATCGAGAGAAATCTTTGAAGTCTCTTCACCTGAAAATCCCAGTCTTTCGTCTGCGCAAGACCCATCCCTCCCTCGTCGGCATTGAGATCTCGAACGTGCTCGGAGCCTCGTGCATCAACAACCGCCGATCCTCCATCCTGGACACGGTGGAAGCAAGGTAAGAAACAAGAGCAGAGAGGAAGATGGAGCTTCGAGAAGGGAGCAAGATCAGCATTGAAGCCATGCAGTGAACAGGCGACAGGGAGGGAGCAGGACGGGAAACAACAGAGGAGAAGGGAGGGAGCACGGTGAAGATAGAATAGCAGAGATCGAGCAGAGAAAGACAAGAGACACCTGTCCCACAGGGAGACGAGGCTCTGCCAGCTCCTCAGCTCTTCGGCCATGACTGAAGAATCCATCGCAGGGTTGGATTGAGGATGGGCCGCGACTTGGCCCTCTGCCCCTTCCCCTTCCTTGTGCAATCTATGCTTCCTCCTGTCGCTGTCAGAGGGAAACAACGCCCAACCAATGTTCATGACTGCGACTGTCTCCCAACGATCAAACGTCCACAAACTGCACCTACTCCTTCAACTGGAGAAGCTTGTCTGAGGGAGGGAGGCTCCACAAGGTCTTCTAACAGGACGTATCCAGCATGAGGTGTTGTTTCATGTTCTACAACATCCTTCGGTCGTCTCTGCCATCATTCCCCCAGTCGCCTCCTTCGCGCTCTTGGACATTCCGTCCCTCATTGAGGGTTCGAACAGCAAGTCAACCCGGGAAGCACACAGCCTCGGAACCAACGTCCGGCCGGGCCCGCCCGCCGCCTCGGGCCTGGCGGCCCCCGCCGCCGGTGAGCCGGTGGCGGCCTAAGAGGATGAGTAAAGACTGAACAGACTCTCCGCTGCCGTTGGCAGACTCTCAATCGGAGTAACCGCTCCCGGGCCGCGAAAAATACTGCTGGTCACGCCGGTCATTGAATTGAACAGCCGAACTGCGGGCGCTGCGGCCGCGGTGAGTGGCCCGGCCGGGGCCGGGCCGCGGCGCCCGGCGCGGCCGCCTGCCACTGCTCAATGCGGCTCGTGACTGATGGATCGCATGCCAGCCATTCCGACCCCGGCAGTACGAAGTTCTATCGGCCCAAGCCTTCAAATGTGACACATTCAGATGACTCTAGATCTGGCGGAAGTTTTCATGACTCGTCCGATCATGGAGCTAGCCTAGGCTGTGGCATGCCATGATGCACTGTAACTGAGCCTCGGAGGCCCCGGCCGGGCGGGCCGCGGCGGCGCGCGGCCGCGCCCGTGGTGCTCAACCCGGCGGTCGGTGGCGAGCCCGCCTGCCTGGAGGACTCTCAAGTTCTAGTAAAAAGCACTTTGTGGGGGTGGGGCAGACGTTTGTGGGGGGTGGTGAGAGAGTCAGGGGCTCCATTCGATTCCGTGTGTAGTGTTTGGATTGTGCCGGTTTCATCGAATAGAGGGACTCGGAGTGAGGGGTAGTATTAGCGTGAAGGGGAGGTAGGGTGGTATAGCAGGGGTGGGTGTACTCAAAATGTATTTTTATTTTCAGCATGTTTTACAAGGCGGCCGCCATGGCCGGAAGGAAAGAGATTGGAGGAAACGGAAGAGGAGAGTAGGAGAGGACGCGATGCTGGTGAGGGAGGAGGGAGGAGATGATCAGATGGGAACGGATCAGGGAGAGGACATGGACGTCAACGGAAGGACGCGATCTTTGGCTTAGATGCAACACAAGCATGACAGTGGTGGCTTGACGCCATCGGAGCGATAGGAATCGTAGCAGTCAATCACGAGCTTGCCTCACCTGATGCTCATGCTGGTGTGAGCTTCCACGAACCTCGCTTGCTTTCACCTACATTGAGGACGCAACCACGCTATGGATCGTAGTTGTGCAGCTTCAGTATAGCTGCCATGGTCGGAACAAGAGTGTTTGAAGAGCCATGAGCCAGGATGGATCAAGTCATTGTCCTGCTCTGTCTTCTGATCTGCTATCAGACTTCGTTTGAGGTGCTGTGCAATCTTGCTCTGGACAGACGGAGCAGATTGCTCGTCGAGGACGGCAAGCTCTTCATGCCCTTGCGTGGAGGAAAGAGCTTTGAAAGCAACACTCTGCAAAGATTCCGAGGAAACCTGGAGCTGAAAAACTTACCGAGGCCTTTCAAGTTCCCGTCGGTGATCAGAGTCAGCACCTCCAAGAATGATGTGGAGGACAAGAAAGTCCTCTGTGACATCTGCACCAGTGAAGAGGCGTCGCAGGGGAAGCCAGGGGCAGCCAAGGACAGCAGCTGGACGATTCGGGTTTGCCGAGGTTGCTCAGGGAGGCACAACATTCGAGACATGCTGCCGCTGAGAGGAAGGTGCAGCGACTGCTCGCGGTTCGCGGTCTTCGGCAAGAACGGGAGGATGCAGCGGCATTGCATGAAGCACCGGCGGTCAGAGGCGGAGATATCGTCCAACCTGCGCTGCTCCTTCCTGGAAGGATGCCATAGGCAACCCTCCTACTGGAACCCTGAGCACAAGGAGATGAAGTTCTGTAGCTCCCATCGCCTCGACGGGCATCTTTGCATGAAGAACCGACGGTTTGTTTCTTTTATCTGTTTCATTCATTACCACCAGAATGACTGAGCATCGCCTTCTCGAACAGATCTTTCACCATCATGATCATAACCATCATCACCATCTTTTTCATCATCATCATCATCACCACCACCACCACCACCACCATCATTATCAGCAGCAGCAGCAGCAGCAGCAGCAGCATCATTTTTCTCCTCATCCTTTCAGCTCTCCGCACTTCTCCATCTGATTTCCTTGCAACAGGTGTCAACACATCGAAGGATGTTCACGCAGGGTTGGGCTTCCTCCCTCTGACTCCCTCCCTCCCTTTTCTCTTCTGCCTTCCTTTGAGAACCTCGTTCTCTCCTCCTCCTCATCATCATCATCATCACCATCATCATCATCATCATCATCCTCATCATCATTCTCATCCTCCTCCTGCAATTTCTCCCTCCCCGTTGTCTATCCTTTGGTATTCTTGCTTAATGTGTTTCGCAGGCTGCCTTCATTCTTGGCGACAAGTATATGTGTGGGAAGCACAGGACGGGGCAGGACAAGCAGCAGGCCAAAGTGCTCGGGTCCTACCAGAAGTGTCGATTCCAGGGATGTGGCAAGAGGGTGAGAAATTTAATCTCCTTTACTCTTCCTCATCCTATTGCTCCTCCTACGCCTCTGTCTCCGCCTCCTCCGCTTTGTCTTTCCTCCTGCTCAAACCTTTCAATTCTCTCATTTTCGAAGTTGTTTTTCTCCTTCATGTTTTCTTCCCCATCCACCGCGTTTTGCCACTCCTGATCTTGAGGCAGGCAAACTTTGGGGTGAGCGGGACGAAGCGAGCTCTGTTCTGCTGCCTGCACAAGCAGCTCGAGCATGTCAACGTCATGCGCAGGAGGTGCCAGCACGTGGGATGCACGAAAACTCCTTCCTATGGCGATGAGAAGAGCAGAGTCGCCAAGTTCTGCAGAGCACACTCCCCAGCAGGTGTTGAGCTGCAACTGTCTCCTCATCCTCCTTCCCTCCCTTCCTCTCCCTCCCTTGCCCCCCCGTCTCTCAGCGTCTCTACCCTTGCCCTCCATGTCCCAGTCGCCTGCCTCCTCTGCCTCCCTCGCTCCTCTTCACCTTCTCATCGCAACGCAGGTCTCATCGACGTTAGAAACCGCTGCTGCCAGCTCTGCAGCTCTAGAGCCACGTGGGGCTGGACAGCAGGACCTGAGAGATGCCGGGCGCATCGCCTTCCCTTCCACCTCAACCTCTCCGCCTCCAGCAGGAAGGTCGACTCCTCCTCCAGCAGCGAACAGCCTTCCTCTTCCTCCTCTTCCTCGTCCTCCTCCTCCAGCCCACACCCTTCTCCCCCCAGCAGGAGTCTGCACCCCTGCCCTCCCAGAAGGAGGACAGTTTTCTCAGCTCCTCTTTGTACCATTTCATGAATGCCGTTTCAATTTGCGTTAAATCTAAATGTCATGTAAAGCTGACCAGTCGCTTGCTCCTCCTCTTCCTCCTCCTCATGATACTCCCCTCCTCCTCCTCCTCCTCCTCATGCCAGGGCTCTTCATTCCTTGTACGTCAAGGTCAGCTCCCATACCCCGCCCTCCTCTTCCCCACCAGAGGCTTCGCACGCTTGCACGAGGGCGCCAGCACTTGGTCGCTCATACGCACGATCGTGCTCGCGATCCTTCTGGGCTCCACACGCACCCCAGCTGCCACCGAGGGGGGGAGGCCGCAGACCGGATTCTCAGCTCGCTCATGAACCTCCGGGCTGCCCAGCTCTGGCCCCACCTGATTGATGACCTTTCCCAGCTCGATCTCGGGGGATCCCTGCAGATGCTTCAGCCGCATTGGAGACGGTACCGTTCTGACCAGCTGCTGATCTTCAGCTGGGGTCGAGGAGAGGAATGGCTTCCTGGAGGTCCTGTGCATGGGGCGAATGCACTTGAAGACTGTTAGGACAGGGGAAGGGAGGAGACTGAAGTTGTTGAGTGGAAAGGAAGAGGAGAGAGGAGGAGAAGGAAGTAGGAGAGAGCGAGAGGTGGGAGGAGGAGGAGGAAGGGAAGGAGAGGAGGGATGGATGGAGGGATGGAAGGAAGGAAGGAGGAGAGGGGGGGCGTGCATGTTCGTTGCTTCCTCACCACCTCTCCATCGATGAAGTCTTCGTCCTCCTCCTCCACTTGCGTCAACTCGCTGCTGCCCTTCGGATCCTCCACCTGCTGCAGGCTCGTCGCTCTCTTCTTGGGTGACTTCACTCCGCAGCGGCGCCGAGACTCCTGCGAGCAAGTCAAGAGGTGAGAAAAGTGAGGAGGGAGGAGGGAGGAGGGAGGAGGGAGGAGGGAGGAGGGAGGAGGGAGGAGGGAGGAGAAGACCTGGAGCAGGATGCTCTTCCTGCTTCTTGGCCTGGATCCTCGCCTCTCCTCCGACACCAGCTGCTTGCTTGCCGCCTGCTCTTTGCAAGAGAGGCTGTGCTGGTCACCTGCGACTGAGCACGAGGAGAAGGAGGAGGAGGAGGAGGAGGAGGAGGAAAGAGCTAACACAGCAGCTGACTGAGCTGAGAGATGGAAACTCTCCGTCCCTGGAGCCTCAACTTGTACTGTGCCGAGCACATCCACGTTCTGCTCTTTTGCGTTTTCGTCTGGTTGCTTCATCTCCATCTCCTCCTTGACTTGTCTTTCCTCCTTCCCACCTCCCTCCGTCTCCATCGCAGAGCGATCTTCTTGCAGCAGCAAACCACCACCATCAGGCAGGTAGGACTCCTTCTCCTTGCTCTCTCCCAGCTGCAGCTGAGGGACAGGAGAAGAAAGTTCGGTCTCCTCATCGCCTGTCAATCCAAAAATGAGAAGGAGAGGAAGGGGGTAGGAGGAAGGTAAAAGAAGAAGGGAGGAGAAGGTAGAAGAATGAGAAGTCACATTTGCTGAGATCCAATGCAACCTTCCTGGACGGAGTCGCACTTTTGTCCTGGCATCCCTCTCAGAACCCTCCTCCTCCCTCCTCTCTCCTCCCTGACCTTGAGCAGAGAGCCGATCACTCCTGCGACGCTCCGAGCTCTCGAGTTCGATGGAGTCATCTCCGCGCGCGCAAAGTTCAGGGACCTCTGAGCATGGCACAAGCTCCTCCCCTCCTCCTTCCCAGCCGGAGTCCTGCGGTCCACAGATCTGACTCCAGCTCCAGCTCCAGCTGACAAAGGAGCTTGCTTGTCGGCGGACCCTGGGGTCATGGAGGAGAGGCGCTTGGGAGTTGCTGCGTTCCTTTCCAGGGGATGAGTGGTGGTGGTGTGGTGGTTGTGGTGGTGGAGGAGGAGGTGGATGGGGTAGGAGGACAAAGAAGAATCCAAGAGCAGGCAGTGCCATCACCAGGGAGAATTTGGGGCATAAACAAGCGGGGAGGGAGTGGAAGATAAGAAAGCGGCACAACGAGGAGAAGAAAGAGGAAAACGAGGGACCAGAGGGGAGCAAGAGGAGGAGGAGCAAGAGGAGGTAGAAAGAGTTTGGCAGTACCTGGGCACAAGGAAACTCTCTCTCGCCGCCATGCTCTGTCGGAAGCTTGCGGTCGCGCTCTTGGAAGTCTTGACAACCCTCAACGGTCCCTGTCAACCGTTGAGCCGAAACTTGGCAGATGGTCGCAGCCCTACCTTGAAGATAGAGGAGCGTTTCTCACGGAGCTCCCGCAGCTCCTGGACAGACAAGTACATGCTCTGTTTGCCCACGGTCGGGATCCTACGACAATGTATGAGACGAAGACGAAGGAAGGAAGGAGAGGCGGGGGAAGGGGAAAAGGAGGAGGAAGAGGACATGAAGGAGAGAACATGTAGAAGAGATGACGAGCATGATGAACAAAAGAGAGAAGGGAAACAAGAGAGGAAGGAAGAAGCGGCAGCGGCAGCGGAAGCGCTGGCAGCAGGATATGACAGAGCTTGATTTCTCAGGAATCATCGGGTACAACCTGTGCTCTGCGATACCCTCCCCTTCCAGGATCTCAGCAAGCGACCCGACATCACGGGAAAACTCCTCCTCCTCCTGCCACCACCTCGTCACCCCCCACCCCCCCAGACCTCCTATGGAGCGCACATGGCAGGCTTCACTCCTTCCTCCTCTCTGGCTGACTTTGGATGCTGACTGAGTCACAGAAGCCTCGGGCAGCTGCGACTGGAAGCCCTTGAGGGGGGTGCGAGCGTCTGCTCTTGCTAGCTGCCCTGGCTTGCGCTCGGAGAAGGATCTCTGGATTTGAAAGGAGGGAGCAGCTTTCGAGGGAGTGGAGAAACTGACATGTGCAGCTTTCCTTTCAAAGGAGGTCAGCACGGAATCCGATCTCTTCGGTTCTTACCTCGCCGATGACGGCTGCACGTTACCCAAGTTTTCTTTTTCACGGCAGTGGTTGACGTCTTGCATCACAGGCGAGCTCAGCCTGAACAATATCAGCAAGCTCGTAGACTTTTCGTTCAACAAGATTAGCTCACAAACAGTGCGCAATGAGTTAACGACGTAATCTACTTGCGTACCTCATTACTTCACCATCATTTGGCTCTACAATGCATCACTACCTCGACCTTTGATAGTTTGTAGAATCCTTGCCTTCATTGTAACTATCTGCCTCAACTGTCGCTATGCTTTTGAAAACATTGCAGATTCATATCTCATCCTTCTTAGCTGTAGATTACAATTGCGATTCTTTACAACCATGATGTAATGCGATGTCCTCATCTCTTTTCCATGACATCTCATCATCATAGCTTCTTCAGACATCTCATCATCATAGCTTCTTCAGACATCTCATCATCATAGCTTCTTCAGACATCTCACCCTCCCATCTTCATTTCTCATGGACATGAACACTTTTAAAAAAGTTCCTGACAAACGCTACAAACAACCCCACCCCTCCACCCCACCGTATCCTTTACAAAGTACCCCCCTTGTTGCCTCTACTGAGTACACGCCTGGCCCGCCTCAGTCAAACTATGCCGCGAGGGCTCAGTTTCGAATTCACTGCGGCCGAAACCTCCGGGCCGGGAATGACGCGGCCCGGCCCGAAGGCTGCCGCAAAGGCGACGGTGAGTGCTGGCCGACAGCAGTAAAGGAGTAGTCGGCAGTATTGGGTTTGGTTCTCGCTGTCTTTTCTCTTCTCGCCGTTTGGCCTGTGCGACAGTGTCAGGCCCACGGTCAAGCCTCCTCGACTCTCCTGATTGTCCTCGTACTGATTTTAACTTAACTTTGAGTAAAGGGCTGGCCGGGCTGCGGCCAATTTTCTTACCACAACGGTTATGAGCCTCGTTCGTGGATGAGTTGAGTAATCATGATTACTCAATTATCATTGCGACAAACGAGTTTCCCAGCAAAGATCCTACCCCCACCCCCCTCAAGAGGTAATGACCCGATTTAGATGGCACACCTCTGCACCTTGCTTCAATTACTTATGGTCTGAACCGAAGTTTTTCATTTTAATGCACTCATGAATTACACAGCCTTTCCACCTACCGGTCCAAATGTAGCTAAACCAAGTTCTGCCACCTTCCCCATTTCCTCCCTTCCCTCTCCTCTCCTCTCCTCTCCTCTCCTCTCCTCTCCTCTCCTCTCCTCTCCTCTCCTCTCCTCTCCTCTCCTCTCCTCTCCTCTCCTCTCCTCTCCTCTCCTCTCCTCTCCTCTCCTCTCCTCTCCTTCCCTCTCCTTCTGGTCTCTTCATATCTCTTCCCCCTGTTCCCCATCTTTCGTCCGTCTGTGATCGCAAGCTTGCGACGCTCGAAGAATGGCACAGAGGCCCAACACCGACTGCGGCATACAAGATGGCGAACACACATCTTTCGTACCAAGAGGTGATCATCGGCATACTTTTTGTTTGTGACAAGTATCTGATAGTGCGGCAGGAAATCGAGAGAAACGCAAGCATGTACGAACTGCAGACACAAAGCCTTCCAAGGAGAAGTTTATCGACAGCGTGACAGCAGACTGCTGCTTCCTGTCAGCCATTGGCGAGCTGGTCGACAACTCGATCCAGTACATCCTTTGCAAACCACCAGGGGAGCCCAAGACCATCCTGATCACCCTGGACTGGCAGAACAAAAGTTTGGTGATCGACGACAACGGGATCGGGACAGACGACCCGACGGTGATGTTCAAGATGGGCTGCGAAAATGCCTCCCAAAACGACTCCTCCTCGATGCAGATCGACTCCTTTGGCAGATACCTCGCGGGCACCTTCTCACGCTACGGGATGGGAGCGAAGAGTGCCTGCAACTTCCTGGGCGAGACCTACATTGTTAGCAGCAAGACGCGGGACAGCAAGCATGTCACGGTTGTGACTGAGCCGAACAAAGGTGAATTCATTGCCGATGTGTATGAGATGCCCCTCGACGATGGAGCAGACGTCACGTCCACTTTCTGCAGGATTGAGATTGAAGGTTTCAATGTTAACAGATTTAGCAGTAACGGAGCTTTCTCCCCAGAGGCCCTTCAGGATTACCTTGCAAGCCTCAGGGCGATGTACTACTTGTACCTTGAGGGAGAGATCGAGGGGTCAGGCAGGTTTCTAGACAGGCTCCTGGAGCAAACTGGAAAGTCCTGCCTGCTTTCTACCAGTCGGCCTGGCAAGACGATCAAGTTCGTGCTGGAAGAGATGCAGAAACTGAAAGACATGTTGAACAAGTTCATAGACAATGATAGAGCACACATAAGCCAGATCGACTTCAAGTTCCATGTCCTTCTCAACCACTCCATGACTCCTCAAGTTTATCGCCTGTCTAGCTCAACCTGCTGCATCGATCAAGTGCTCGACGGCGCTGCAGATATTTTCCCGATCCACGTTGAGTTCGAAGTCGACAAGTCAACCACCTCGGTTGTCATTGGAGCTGTGTTCTACTTCCCTCGGAAGGAGCAGGTGGAAACTGTACCATACGTTGATAAGATGCCGGGTCGAACATTCAGCGACAAACGACGTTTCATGACGTTCTGGATGGGCCGCTGGCTACCTGGAGAGCACTTCTATCCTGACTTCATGCATCACCGCAAAGATGCGAATGCACCAGAGCGTTGCTACGAGAGGACGTTTGGGATCCTGTTTGTAGATCGAGCGGTCGTACCAGAGTCGAACAAACGGGAGTTCAGCAGCAGTTCAGAGAGTGTAAACAAGCTGAAGAAGGCTTTCAGTAAGAAGAATCTAGCTGCACCATATGACTATTGGGTGAACAAATGCCATCTCACGTACGATACCGAGGTCTCGTTCCAAGGAGAAAACCCCACACATGATCCAGTTAAAGATGTTTCTGAACATGACAAAGTTGTGATCTGCAACGAGACGTTTGAGGTCGGTGAGTTGATTGAGCTTATTAACACCAGGGAGTACAAGAAGAATGCTATGAGGGTTGTGGGGAAGGTTGTGAGATTCTTGCAAAAAGGGCACTTCTCAAACAGTAACTGTATCGGCAATGTCGAGTTGGATGAGCTGTATCCAGACAACAGCATGAAACATTCTCTACATGAAATACCGCACAAAACTATGAAGCATATCACGCAGGAGGAATTCGACGCTATCAAGAATTTAAATGAGAGCAAGATTGTGCGTAGAGTGATTGCAACGTACAGAGACAAGAGTTTCAAGGCTGGCCCTGCCATTCTCTTCCCTCGGATATCCTGCAAGAATTCGATGGGCGAGGAAATTAAAGGCTACACACCAAGCATGAAAGCAACTCTCAAGGGGCAGAAGAACTTTGAAAAGGAGTTTCACATCGACGAAAACAAGGCTCAGTGGTCTGCTGACCTCTTGACTTTGTCGATAGCTGACAAGTACGTATTGCACCTGAAGCCAGAGGACGATGGCAGGTCCTTCCAGAGTGACCCAGTGACGTTCGAGATCGTACCCGGAGATATGGATAGTGTCACCCTCGACCCCAACGAGTCCACCATCTGCTGTGTGCTGGGCAAGGAGAGCTCGCATGCACTGAAAGTCGTCGACAAGTACAACAACACAATCTCGCTGAGCAACTCTACTCACAGGGTTTCCGTCGTTGCAGATGACGCTGAGAACATGCAGATTTCTTTCACTTACAACTTTCAAGGGTCGACCGCTAGGATTTCAGACCTCTGCGTGACCAGAGCAAAAGTCGGGACGCATTCAGCCAAGGTCATCGTGAGTGAAGGACTGGAGGAAGCAGACGTTGACAAGAAGAAAGAGGTTCAGTGCAGCATCTTGATCACAGTTGAACATGGACCAGCCAGCAGCATCAAGAGTGACGTTCCTTGGACCGAACTGAAAAACTACGAGAACTTCGATCCCATCGATATCACCATACAGGACGAAAGTGAGAATGTCTGCAGCTCAGTTACCGGGAGCAAGCTTCTCTTGACCAGCCCAGATCTCGTCTTGTCAAAACAATCCAAGTGGGAAGGAAAAGATGTGAAGAAGGGACTCTGTCACCTCCAGTCAAACTGCGTCAGCACTTTGTTCTCTTGCGCCCCAGGAGCATGTTGCGATGACTCCAAGACGTTCAACAAGGGTGACTGTGACCGGTGGAAGAAGAAGATATTGGAACAACAAGTTCCTGCAGGAATCCCTCACAAGGATCATGGCTTCTTCCAAGTTGGAGACTTCATCGTAATGGAAACAGAGTGGGAGCTTCAGAAGAGCGACCATCGCAAGACTTACCCTAAGGTCAACGTGTACGGCAGGATCTTATCTATCTTCAACGACTCCAGCCTCGACGTTCCGGCCACTGGTATGACTGTGGAGTACTACAAGCTCAAATCTTCTCTGACTTCCCGCCTGCTGGAACGGGATAAGGATAGCCCGGAGGATCTTCATCCAGACGCCATAAAGGGTCGTTGCTTCGTCTACCACAAGTCTCTCCTAGACTCCCTTGACCCGGATGCCCTGGCTCCCAACGTTTTTTTCTGCGACTCGGAGGAGTTTCCGAAGAGCTTGCAAGCTACTCTCGACCTGCTGTACGAGACTGAGGAGACTCTGCTCCATGCGAGGCTGACCAAGACGCTGGTGCCGAGCGGCTCTCCCAGGAGGGTGAAGCTGCTGCGAGCTGACCGAGAGCTGCCGCTGGAGAGATGCGACGACGAGGAGCGAGAGGTAGAGATCGTCGCAGAGCATGGCGACGAAATCTCAGACCTGACCCTCCAGCTCACCGACGAGGCCAACCAGAGCTGCCATGACCGCACGGACGAGTCGTCCAACGACTTGTCAAACGTGCAGGTCGAGGTCAGCTGGGCTCGTCAGCATGATCGGAGGGTTCAAGTGGCCGGTTGTCGACCTATCGCGCTCCCTTCCCTTCAAGTGCCTTCAGCTCCCACCCACACCGTCTCAGTGATGAAGAAACAAGACGGGAAGACAACGAGGCTGTGCAAGTACTCGATAAACGTCAAAGTCAAACCGGGTGTACCCAGCAGGCTGAAGCTCAGCCTGATCAACTCGTCGCAGTTGACAGTAGGGGAAACATTTCAACTCCTCGGGACAATGGTCGACCAGAACGGCTACGAGATCGAAGCCAGAGAAGTGACTCTTAAGGAAATAGCTGCGTTCCGATTCACTTACGATGAACCCAAGGAGGAGGGAGAAAGTGTCCAAGTCCAGATCTGCGAGCCAGGCACCGTCAACGTCGTTGCACCTCAAACGGCTGCCAGTTACATTAAGGTCGAGGGAGCTAGCCTGCTTGTCTACAGCGCTCGGCTGCTGTCGCGACCAGCCAAAGGCTCCCTGACCCTCCACGTCACCATCCGCGCTGAGACTGAGGCTGGTGTTGAGAACTTCTGCCTCGAGCCTGTCAGACTTGACGTGCAGGTTGTGGCGGGAGTTCCAGACCAGATCTGCATGGAGTCTGGGCCGGAGCCGCTCTCGATCGTAGTCGACAGCATGTCGCAGCAAGAGTGTGATCACAGGTTCATAGTGGCGGACGTGGCAGGGAACAACTTGTCATCGGAGTGGAACTCTGGCCTCAAGATGACGGTCAAGAAGAAGTCCGTCTTGCTGGAGAAGGAGATCGATGGGTCAACGGGGCCCTGCTTCAGACTGAGAACGATCCCGGCCCTTGCAGCTGGGGAATACGACGCTGTGATATCCAGCAAGAGACTTCAATACGACTTGAGGATCGTCGTGAACCCGCGGAACTCAGTGATGAGGGTCGCGATGACGGTGGGAAGCAAGGTGGGCTACCTGCAGAAGAAGAAGAGGGACAACGAGCGGAGGAGGAAGACGAGAAGTGAAATCGACATCGACATCGCAGAGGCAAGGTTTGATGCCAAGGTTCAGTTTCATACCGAGGACAAGAAGGATGTTGAAGGGATGAGCGCCATGCCCAACGTCAATTTCTACTGCGGGACTGAGAGAGTACAGGCCGATTACATCTCTTTCGACAAGAATGTTTTGCTCGCTACCTTGACTCTCTTCCACCTTGGGAAACACAAAGTTCACGCCGTCTTCACCGACACGCGGCCCACCTACAGCAACAGCAGCGAAATCCCGTCAGGCGAGTGCGAAGTCGAAGTGAGACCAGGTAGCTCCTCCCTCTCTGCCGTTCCTCTTCCTTACCTTCTCCCCCAGGCCCCGTGGAGCAGCTGAAGCTGAACCTGACTGCCTCCCCGAGCAACATGTTACAGTGGGACTTCCTGGTACGAGCCTGCGACGGAGGAGGGAGACCTTCGGAATTCCACAGCGAGGAAGGTTGGAAGGCAACAGTGAAGCCGCGCCTGATAGGAAGAACTCACTTCACCCTGCTCGCTGACCCTGTCACGCTCAATGCCGCTGCTCCGGAAGTCTCCGGCAGCTTCCGACTCGTCCCCGAAGGCTCCTCCGAGCTCTGGGAGAGCACCTGCAGCCTTGAGTTTGACATCGAGAGCAACATAGAGCTACAGCAGGTCGGCCGAGAGACTTTGTCAGTGCCGAAGCCCCCATCGGTCAGCGAAGAGGATGGGTCTGCGAGCCGGAGGGAAGAAGAAGACATGGAGGAAGAGTTCAGCATCAGTGAACTCTCTGTAGAGCAGGACCAGAGGGATACTGAGGAACAAGCGAGGCAGCAGCAGGAGCAAGAAATCCGCCGGAAATTGTCGCTAGCTCAGAGCTGCATCGACAACGCTGTCGACAGGCTGCCCAAGACTCGGGAGGTCTCAGAGGACATCCGATTCTTCTACTCTCGTCCCGAGCACGAGGACTGCCAGGCTCTACGGCAGGTGTGCGAGCAGCAGCTGCCGGCTGTGACCAACTACAAGAAAGCGGTGGAGGAGAAGCTGGCAGCCATGAAAGCTGCTTCTGACAAGCTACAAAACAAGACCCACGTCTCCACCGTCAAACTCCCCGCCGACTCCTCCGCCCTCGGCTGCTTATCCACCCTGTTCTTGATCGATCACCCGCAGTCGTCGGACCTTCAGACGGCATTGTCGACAGCCTTCGGGGAAGACCTGGACTGCCTCGTCTTCCGCCGAGCTCAAGACTGTGACAGGGAGCTGCAGGCTGCCTCCTCCTCCTCCTCCTCCTCCTCCTCCTCCTCCTCCTCCTCCTTCAGGAGCAGGCCTCTTGCTGCCATCGCCCTCGACAAGCTCTCCGGGTCGCCGCCTACCGGCAGGCTGCCGATGGGGGCCATCGGGAGGGCCAGCGACTTTGTGGTGCCTCACGTCCAACAGCGGAACGTCCAACAGCGGGAGGATCCGAGGATGCTTCAGGGGCTGAAGAAGCTGGCAATCCACATGCTGAGCAGACTGCTCGTCTTCGAGCACTTTGAACAGGCCAAGTTGTACTGCGAACAGAGCGCTGGAGCCGGTGAGATGATGGTGGGGCTGGACATGCCCAGCAAGGTGCTGTGCTGGGACGGGATGCGGAAGGTGGGGAGCAGGAGGACCAGGATGGGCCTCGTCGACGTCTTGCAATCCTCGGAGTACAAGGATCTGCAAAAGGAGAAGGACGACGCCTCAAGGATAGAGGAGGAGCTCAAGGTGAAGTGATCCCTAGCGGAGGAGGAGGAGGAGGAGGAGGAGGAGGAGGAGGAGGAGGTGAAGAACGTGGACGAGGACGAGGACGAGCAGAAGCCTTGCTGATCGCATCTTCCCTTCCTCAGATTGTCCTCAAGAACTGCGACAGCATGCTTCAGTGCCAGCAGGAGCTGGAGAACCTCAGCTCGCATGTCGAGCAGGAGACGCTCAAGACTCGGAGGGTTAACGGGACTCCGAACAAGCGCGCGCTCGAAAGCCAGGAGGTGAAGAGGGAGGAGGGAGGAGGGAGGAGGGACTTGTGGGTTGACCTGACGGCGGGAAGCAGCAGGCGAGTGGGAGCAAGCGGCTGAGGCCGACGAGGCTCTTTGGGCGCCATGCTGGAGACTGAAGGGGAGGGAGAGCGATTGAACATGGAAAGAACGAAAAGGAGGGGACAGGGGCAGAATGAGAGGCAGGGAAGAGAGCAACGAGGGGCTGGAAGATGAGATCGGGAAAAGCCATCAATCTCCAAGGAGTGATGGGGTAATGACATGTTGAGCTGAATGACAATCTTCTGAGGTGTCAACGACGAGGTAAGAAGAGATTGTAACTTTCATGTAAGGTCAACAGTACAGTAACGCTAGAGCTGTACTCTTGATAATCTCGAGTGTATCTCCTCCCATCTCCAACCTCGCTTCAATCACCTTCTTGTTTCATCCCCATCCTTCCCCACACCTGCCAAAATCGGAGCAGCAACAAAACAATATGCTTCCTTCCGTAGATGCTGTGAAACTTCTCTCAACTAGAACTACTTCTTGTGCCGCCCCTGCCTACAACTCATTGATACAGATGCTGAAGGAATTAGACACCATCATATATAGTTACATCTTCATAGATCGTTGTGTCTCCATACATTCGACATGTACACTGCTTTATTGTTCTTAAATGGGAGGCGGGAAACATCAACAAGCTGGGTATAGAGACTCCTGACAAAATTGTCCCGGAGGAAGATAGGAACTTTGAGCAGTATCGAAGTTGTATACCACACTTTCATACATTCGCTACATCTTCAAGCATCTGCTACATCTCCAAGCAGCTGGTTCTTCAAGCATCTGCTACATCTTCAAGCATCTGCTACATCTTCAAGCATCTGCTACATCTTCAAGCATCTGCTACATCTTCAAGCATCTGCTACATCTTCAAGCATCTGCTACATCTTCAAGCATCTGCTACATCTTCAAGCATCTGCTACATCTTCAAGCATCTGCTACATCTTCAAGCATCTGCTACATCTTCAAGCATCTGCTACATCTTCAAGCATCTTCTACACCTACATTTTTGAATCTACTATACACCTGCGTTTAGTGCTGTTATCTTTTTAAAATAATTATATAGTTTTGTGATACTCGGAAAGGGGGTTTAAAACCTGTGAAGGGGGTTCACTGAGTACTCGATGCTACGATATGTCCATTTATAAGGTTATATAATAAAAACAATATATCATTATTTTAGTTTTAAACTCATTTGTAAAATCCGAACCGCTATCATGGCGTTTTGCCAGAGATGGCGCAAAGAAGAGAGAAGGAGGAGGAGAGGAGGAGAGGAGGAGAGGAGGAGAATAAGGGAAGAGAGAGTTAGTTTATGCTGATTCAAGGACAGAGGAGAGAGAACGTGAGAATAGGCAAAGAAGAGGCGACGCGAGATGGGGAGCACGGAGCAGGGAAGAAAAGGGAGGGCAGTTCAGGACAAGGGCAGCGCAGAAGATGAGAGGAGAGGGTGAGATGCAATGACAATTATATCTGAGATCTGGTATGATACAATCGATGAAAATGACAAGATAGTCCCAAAGATCTAAGGAGAGACGAAAGTGCGTCAAGTACATATTGAGCTCGTTTCATATCGAGGCCCAATGATTCTGAGAAAAAAGCAGAGCAAGCGGTCATCCAAAGATATGCTGGATAAGATATAGATCAGGAAATTATGGACATGGTTGAAAGAAATGTGCATGAAATGCTCCAGTGCTGATGCGATTGACGAGACTCAGTGCTGTGCATTACAGATGGACATAGGAGGTCGGAGGGGACACATCATGAGCACATCGAACATGTCGGACCCTCACTGATCGCTGGTAACGTCAAGTGCGACTGGACGGCATGTGGTGAACTAGAATTTTCAGGTTGTATGCAAACAAGGGGAAGGCGAGGTGGAGGGGGTATGCGGTAGCTGTGAGTGGAGTCGAGATGCCGAGACACATCCTCCGGCGCATCTTCATGAGGGATCAAGGGTCAGGCATAACTCGCTCTCCCTCTGCGAGTCAAGCAGGTGAATGTGCAAGGAGAGGGAAGCAGGAGCTGACGAGGATGCAGCGCCCAAGAAGGAGCAGGCCAAGAAACAGAACCTCAAGAAGTTCAGAAGATCCGACCTGGAGGTCGCCTCCTCCTCTCTACGTCTTGATCCTTCTTCCTCCTTCTTTCTCCTTCTTTCTTCTCCTCTCCTCCACATCCTGATCTTCCTATCTCTCCCTTTCCACCGCTATCTCCTCCGCTCTCCTCGCCTTTCTCCTCTTCCCTTCCTCCTCTCCTTCTTTGCCCTTCTCGTTTTTGGTCCGTCCTCCTTCTCCTCCTTGCTCTCGTCGTGGCTGCTCTTGCATACTTGATGATGCTCACCGGAGGAGTAGGTGTCGGACAAAGTTGGGAAGGGAGCTTACGGGGGAGTGTGGCAAGCGACGATCCTGGAGAGCGGAGAACGAGTCGTGGTGAAGGTGATATGGCCAGACGTCGATCTTGACCCCGAGGACGCCAAGAAATCGAGCCCGGGGCAGCACAGGAGGGACGCGTTCAAGCGGGAGATAGAGATGATGAAGAGGGTAGGGAGCCATCCCAACGTGATCGGGATCCTAGGAGCGACAGCAGACTCGACAGTGATCGTCTTCGAAGAGGCGCTGGCAGATCTGCACGTGGTGATCAAACGGCAAAAGCGATCGCTGAAGCTCTCGATGATCCTCAAGGGGACGGAAGACATTCTGCGAGGCATCGAGTACCTTCACAGCATCAAAGTCGCCCATCGCGACATCAAGCCGGCTAACGTGCTGGTCTTCAAGGGCATGACCCTCAAGATCGGAGACTTCGGCCTGGCCCGCGAGTTCCAGGACGAGAACATGGTGGTGAGAAACGAGGTCTCGACCCTCTGGTACCGTGCGCCCGAGCTGCTGATGGGCTGCGCCTCCTACACTCCCAAGATCGACGAGTGGTCGGCAGGCTGCATCGTGCTGGAGATGCTGAGCGGGCGCTGTGCACTGATGGGGAGGGTGGAGGACGTTTGCGACTGCCCGCAGGCGACTCACTTCAACTTCAACCGCGATCAGCTGATCAAGACGTTCAGCCTCGTCGGGACGCCGACAGATTCGAAGCTGTTGGCTAAGATGAACTGCTCCTGCCACTTCCTCTCCTGGCCCTCCCAGCGCGCGAGCCTGCCGGAGCTGGTCGGCAGCCTGATCAGCAAGGAGAGGATCGAGAAGGACGACAGCCCGAACGTGTTGGAGCAGGATGTCAAGGAGGTGCTGCTCCTGAGCCCTTCCCCTCCTCCCTCCTCTTCCTCCTTCTCTCCTCCTCCGCCTCCTTCCTCTTCCTCCTCCTCCTCCTCCTCCTCCTCCTACTACTACTACTACTACTACTCCTACTCCTACTCCTACTCCTTCTACTCCTCCCTCGTTACCCCCTTACCTCCCCGCTACCCTCCCCTTCCACTACTAATGAAGTCATTCCCTCTCAGTCGAAGGCGAAATGGATGCAGTTGCTAGACTCGCTGCTGGTGGTGGACCCGGAAAAGAGGAAAAGTTCTAGTGAGGTGAAACACGCAAACCTCCTCCTCCTCCTCCTCCTCTATCTTGTTCCTCGGTCTCTCCTTCCCTCCTCCTCCTCCTCCTCCTCCTCCTCCTTCTCCTCGTCCATCTACTTCTTCCTCTATCGTCTTCCTCGGTCTCTCCTTTCCTCCTTCTCCTCCTCCTCTCTCCTCCTTCTCCATGACTCTCCGGTTGACGTCGCTGCTTGGCCAGGTACTGGAGCTCCCTATCTTCTACCACCCGGAGCAGTCGCGCAGTGAGACGCCGAGCGGGAGGAAGGAGGAGGAGCACAAAATCTTTCGAACTCAGTCCGTCCCCTCCTCTTCCTCCCCCAAGCCCTCCATGTCCAAGAACCTCCTCCTCCAACCCCTGCGGAGAATTTCCCTCGGCATGGAGAAACTTCGAAACTCTGATGGAGGACCGACGGGACAGCAGTGAGTTGAAGAGGAGGGGGAGGGGGAGAGAGGAAGGAGAGCAGGTGCCGGGAGAGGACAGGGAGTTA